CTAGGTAGGTCATCCTGTATTCCTCAGGGTTCCGTCGGTTGATCAGCAAAGCCCCTCTCCCCATCAGCTCTTGAACGACGTCCAGGTACCCTCGCTGTACGGCCATCAGCATTGGGGTTCTTCCGCGGTAATCATCCGCTTCGACGTCAACTATAGCGAGCTGCGTCGCAAACCAATCATCATCATCATCATCATCATCATCATCATCATCAGCAGCAGCAGACCCTTCATCTGCAGACCTTTCAGGCTTCGGCTCCAGCGCCTTCTCCGCCCGATCGAAGTCCAGGTCTAACAACTGGTGAACGACATCGGCATGACCGCTACTCGCAGCAAGGAAGAGCGGCGTCTGATCGTTCTTGTTCCTGTCATCCGGCTTGAATCCCTCCTTCAAGCACCACTGCACGGCTCCGCAGTGACCATACTGTGCGGCGTAATGCAGCGCCGTGTTCCCCGTGTGCAGGCAGTCCTCCATGACCTCATCGTCGTCGAGTACGCTCTCTCTCCGAATGTGCTCGGAAAGAAGGTCAATGGCATCGACGTCGCCGCCGATCGTAGCGCCGTGAATGGGCAAGCCAATCCATCCTGCATCTTCTTCGAAGCAGGGCCTCGCACCCTTGGCAATTAGAGTCTTCATGTCGTCGACTCGACACAGGATCCCCGCCGCAGTCAACGCCATGGTCAATGGATCGCTCCACGCCCACTCCGTATCATCATCTTCTTCTTCTCCCTCGTTCTCCGACCCATCGTCATCCGGATCATTCTCCGCACCCTCCCTCTCCGGCTTTGTGCCAGCTAACCCCTGAAACATTGCCTTAGTCAGACCCCCGAACGCTACCACAGCGGCCGCCATGCCTTCCGTGTACGTCTTTCGCAGCCTCTGAACCTCCTCACCATCCTCCTCACCGTCCCGTAATGCATCAACAGCCGCATCTACAACCCCAGTTACCTGCTGAGCAAACTTCCTCGACACTTCATTAATCTGCCCCCCCGCCCGACTCCGCTCCAAATGCCGACTCAACAGTCGCCGGCAGAAGCGGATCGCTTGCGGGGTGGGCGGGTCACTCCGCTGCAGACACGCAGAGTCAAAGTCCGTGGTCAAAACCCGCGGGTCGAGGAAGTAATCCAGAATGATGTGGTTGAAGTCCTCTACCGTAATGAGTATCCAGGTCGCTGGTTAACACCGGGTGGGGATACATACTGCACACTAGCCTCAGCGCGAGAAAGTCCTTGACCTCGTCCACGGCCCGCGTGGAGGGCCAGTACTTGCCCCATTGTTTGGGCGGGGTAGACTGGAAGATGATGTGGCGGATGAGCTCTGCCGGGAGGGTTGGGAAAGCCATTTGATCTCGCATGGTGGATGTTTGTGGCTGAACAGCCCGGCTTTGAATTATAGTCACGCACTTCCTTTTGGCCAAGCCGCTGAAATTTGACTCCAAGATCCACTGTTTACTGCCTGAGGCAGGACCTTTTCGTTGATAGGAGCTTGGGCTTCAGCTCAGAACACGGTCGTCTGTTTTATTTATTTATTTTTTTTTCTCCCTTTTTTTTTTGGAAAAGTATTTTCTGCCCCCTTTCCGCAGCCCGCCAGAATCACCGCTTTCTGTTCAGAGTTGTTCTACTCCTAGCCTGTAACTACCAACCATTTCCATCAATGATCGTCTGCATACAATGGGGCATAATATAAGATAACTACTGCAATATCCTGTTATCACTGTTATGCTATTTTGATATATCATCGAAAACGTATACTTGTTCTTATCACCCCCTTTTTTACTAATTCCAATCCCTCAATTCCATACTTCAAGGCTCATGCTTACAGTACGCGGTAAGATCGTTGTATTCTAGGTGTAATCCCTCACCATACATTGAGACAACCTATAGCTGCATCATCGATAACGAGAGGATATTAGAGCCCCTTGTTACTCTGCACTAGCCGTGGAATCTCAAAACAAAAACTAATAACTAAACTTCCATCTCAGGTGCCTCCATTTTACTTTATACCAGCGCTTGCACATGTTCCAAGGGAGGACTGACTCGGCGGGTAGGTAGACAATAGATCATTTTATATAGCCTGTTGCTCTTTCTCAATAAGTCTCGATACTGACAGTTCATGTACTTAGTAGACAAAGTATGCACTACCACAGTTTGTGAAAACTTCCTCATTCCTTTCGTTGCGCGGCGTATCTTCATCCTGGCTAATGTCCTACTACTTATCATATCTTCATCTAATGGTAATATGAGAATATTTTTGCCACCGCAACAACCAGTATTTAACCTCCTCATCGTTAATCGTTGGTTCTGTTGACACCATTGATACAACCTATCTCTTCTCTGCCCCCGAGGATGCCTTTGCTATTTAGCTCTCTCTTTAGTGCCTTCCTCATTTCAACTGGCTAATATTACGCGCCAATTGTCAAGCTTGAGGAAGCCAATATTGGAACTTCTTGTCTGTATCAGAAAAAGGTCTATAACTGTCCTTCATACGAGTGTTGATCTATACATCTGATTGATTCTCCTCGCCCGCAGACTAGCTTGACTCTGGAGACAAGCGATAAGCGGTGGTATGAAGCACGCCTTCCTGGGTGCTAGAGGGTTCAATGACGTCATAGAATCGCTGGCAATCTTATGTATATCCTACTCTTAAGAGTATTTAGCAGTAAGCCAATTGTCCACCTCGAATTCTCTTTGATCATCGCAGAGCAATATCGTCGCTGTTTGGAAAGTGTGCGTATTGTTGCGGGGAATCCTCATCAGGTTCTGTTTTGGTCGAATCAATGCCGCCTAGCCGCGTTGCCTAGCTTACCTCAAAGCATGATGCCAAACTGTTTACTACACCCACCAGCCCAACCAGTAAAATAACAACCCTATAATTAGCTGCATGGCTTGCTTTGTATTACTATGACTACTAATCAGAGGGGTCGACTCATGTCCACCTTTGGAGGATTTCCATATTTCTACTACTGGCGGCGCATCTGATTCTACACATTGGCTCAGCGTTATCTGGAACTGCATGTCTGTGAGACAAGAAATTCAATACACATCTTCCTCTCCGCTCTCCATTTTCACTAAGAATACAGAGCTCAAGTACATGAGTGACCTAGCACCCTAATACAACAGGCTTCTGATTTGTCGCTCAGTCACGCGGAGAGCCGAAAACCTCCATGTGGATGCGGTCCGGTAGCACACCCAAAGCCTCCAAGCACTTGCTCTGGGCTTTCATGAACGGTTGCGGCCCACAGATGTAGTAATCTGCGTCAGGCAGAACAGCCTCATCTTGGATCTGAGCCAAATCCACGCGCCCAGTATGATCGTAATCCACACCCCGGGTATCACCTTCCGCGGCATCTTCATAGAAGACTATGCGGCTCACCATCGGATTCTCCGCAACGATCTGGTTCAGATCGGTCTTCATGGCGTGGACGCGCCCGTTCCGGGCCGCATGGATGAACACCACCCGCCGAGACGGACCCTGCTGGCCGACAATGCTTTTCAGCATCGACATCATGGGCGTCAGGCCCACGCCACCGCTGATCAGGACGGCGGGGGTGGTGGCGTTGATGTCGAGCACGAAGTCCCCCGACGGCATGCTCACGTCCAGCTCCGCGCCAACGGGCAGTGCCTCGTGCAGAACGTTCGAGATCCGACCGGCTGGTCTCGAATCCTTCGCCATCTCCCGCTTGACGGAGATCCGGAAGTGCTGCCCGTTCGGGATGTCCGACAGGCTATACTGCCGCGGCTGATAGGAGCCCAGCTCGGGCACATAGCATCGTACGCTCACAAACTGGCCGGGGTGGTATTCGGGCAGAGCGCCCCGGTCGACGGGGCGGAGGTAGAAGGAAACGATCTCCTCGCCCTCGGAGGTCTTCTCAGAGACGAAGAATTTCCGCCATCCCACCCAGCCGCCGGGTGTCCGGAGATGTTGTTTGTAGAGGCTATCCTCAAAATTGACGAAAATGTCGGCCAGCTCCTGGTAGGCTGCGGCCCACGCGGCAAGTACTTCCTCGTCGACGGCCGGTCCCAGGACATCCTTGATTGCGACGAGAAGATGCTCACCGACAACCGGATAATGGTCGGGCATGACGCCCAAACTGGCATGTTTGTGTCCAATGCGAGACACGGCCGTGCTTAGGGCCTCGGGCTGGTCGATGTTGGATGCGTACGCCCACACAGCATGCGCCAGGGCTGCAGGCTGCTCTCCCGTTGCTTGGTGCGCGGTGTTGAAGATGTTTTTCAGTTCGGGATGCGCCTCAAGCAGACGCTTGTAGAAGAGGGTGGTGATCGTCACGCCATGCTCCTGGAGTGCGGGGATGGTCGACTTGACAATCGCCTTTTGCTGTGTAGTGAGCGGCCGTTGCGACACGGACGCAGGGGCGCGTCGCGCGAGAGTCGGAAGCGCCACTCGGCGAAAAAGAATCTTTGCAGACATTTCATGAACGCTGCGAGATTCGTCGCATCGGTGAAAGTTCGATATGAGCTGAAAAGAATATTGTTCTACTTCATGCAGTGGGCGGGCTTTGGGACTTCTTGATTGCTATGTTGGCCAAAGGGGCTTACATCATCACCTAGGTCATAAGGCATCGTAATCGGACAGCGAACCGCTGGGACAGCAAACCATCATGTTATTTTGGACTTATACTTAGTTAGTTCAACATATTCAACCACGGAACCGTCAAACTCTCGGAGCCATCTAATCAACATTTTGTTTCTTTCGATGACAGATGGAATATTTCTTGAGTCGTTCCAGTAGATCTTGAATCCTTGCTCTTGTCTACCCTTGAAAAACGAAGGCTCTATGGGCTGAGAATGAGCGGGAAATGAAGAAGATAATAAGGACATGCGCTTCTCTAGGGGATAGTCTCTTTCTATCCGCACAGAAAGACCATGACAGTATTGAGCAGCTCAATGAGCAAGTTGAGGAGTAGGTTGATGAGCCTATACCACAGCCTTATCAGCGCATTTCCTCACGCTGCAGTGGCTACTGGGCTATTGAACGTATAATATGAAAATGCCTGACCTAGTACAAAGTACGACACCGTCAGACGGAAAGATTGAGCAGAGTTATCTCAATGTTAAAATTTTCCCTTGTTGCCTTGAAAAGAGAAGCTCCTAGAGCAACGAGGCCTATGTCGAGTTTGTGTTCGTAGCGCTTCCCCAACCAACAAGTCACTTGATCATCCTTGTCCGGGATATCCAGTAGTGCAACGAAGAAGCTCAATATTTTCGGGCTTCCTCATGCTTTCCCTCTCCATATCGGAAGGAGCATGCTGTGGAAAGACATTGAAAGTGAGAGTTGTTAGGCGATACCTTGCGGGGGATACTATTTATCTCTTCCAAGTCAAAGCCACCCTCTCCATTCAGACACAAAGATGACCTAATGCAATTCATACACCGTCGCAGGCCCCTTGGGCGCAAAATGCTCCTGATACAATTCATGCCTCTCCTGTGGCTGCTGCTGCTGCTGCTGGACAAAGCTCCCGTGGACCCCGTAAGGGTACCCCGAGCCAGTATCATATTGCGCCTGGGGGTGGAAAGTCCGTCTCTGCCTGCGAGAGAGGAAGAAGATCGCTCCGCCGACAATGATGGCCACCCCCACGACCGCCCCCACGACCGGACCCGCGATCCACGCTTTGGATGAACTACCACCTGAGGAGGATATAAGAGTCTCGCTTGTTGTTCGGGTCGTGGACGCGGTCGTGGCGGAAGATGTTTCTCTTATCAAAGTTACGGTCGGAGAGGAGGTAATAGGCGCGGTGGTAAGGCTGCTTTTGGAGCCTAGTCAGTTTTATCGCTATCAGTCACGCTGGTGATCCTCAAAAGTCGGGGCACGGGATTGCCCACTTGACGTTGTGCTGGCGGCGGGCAATTCGCGGTAGACAGTATTGGCGTTCCAGGCTTGGGCGCAGAACAGGTTACTGGCGCTGGGACCGCCGTAGGGGGAGGTTTCGTAAATGGTCATCGTATAACACCGGGCAGATGTGCTGGTCACCACGAGGAGCATTAGAAGCAGGCATAGAGTGGGAGAAGTGGGTTGCTTTGCGGGTAGACCTTACCAGACGAGACTCTCATTGTTATTGTAGAAAAGGGTGTTGGCTGTGCATAGTGTTGCAAAGGAACAGGCGCTCCCTGAGCATCCTGCGGCGTAAGTGCCGGATGTTGTCCAGGTGTTGGGATCAGTTAATGCTTGCGCTGTGCATGGGCGGGTGGTTTTGAGTACGGGAACCTTTGACTAGCTCGGCAAATGGAATGAGCACTCACTGCCTGTTGGGCCTAGATACCACCCGATGAAGTGTGGGTTGGTCTCGATCGAGATGTTAACTGTCGTCTGAGCGTGGGTGTCTTGGAGACAGAGCACGAGGAAGAAGAAGGGCCATATGGAATCGAGCCTGAATGCTGGCGACATTGTATTCGAATGAATCAGAATACTTCTGTAATGGAGGAAGGGCAAGCAGAGAACATGCAAACCAAAACTCGAAAATGGCAGCGAACGCCAGTAATTTAGCCTCCTATTTCAAACGAGGCTGGTACAGCATAAAGCATAAGAATCGGCCCCCGAGCGCAGTGAGGGGGCCTCGCTCTTGTACCTTGGCAACATCAACATCACCGTGTGATAAGGATGGGAATCCTTGCCTAGACACATGTTCGTTGTGCTCGTAGCCTTGTGTCGGACAAGGGTGTCATTCTCTAGCGGAACATCCGCAGCAATAAAGGCAGGAGATTTAGCGCGGGCGCCTACTAGGGCGATGGTGTTATTCGTTACCTACAGCGCGGCGGATGGGGAGTTGGATCTTCCGTAAATTGGATTAATCTTGGAGTCAAAGCGGGCCTGAACAAGAGGCTTGTATCATTGGTGTTCAAAGTTAGTGCCAAGTTAGTGCCATCTCTAGTCTTTGCCAGGGTTCCTGTAAGCGAGGGCGAGTGTCTTTCACCAACCCGAGATTATTTGCCGCCAGTGAGACATGTTCTGGTAAGCTTAAACTCATATTGGCTAAAGCTGTCACGGCTTGGCGCCTACGCTAATTAAAGCAGCACCCACGTGCTAAGTAAGCCCCGTAGGCAACCCGACTAGACCCTGACTTGTTTCCATGTCTCTCTCTTAAATATCACATCATACCCACGCTGCTCCCTCCGTCCCCACGTAACTCTGCCAAATGTTCGCTCACTTTTAATCTCCTCCTGGTACTCACCTGTTGCTGGTCAACATGATTTCTTCTCGATATATGCGTTTTATTTTGCTCACAGTGCCTTTTCTTTTGTTGGTATTTCTTGTATCTCAGAATTGGGATGTAATACCCCAACCATTCGGTCACAGCAAACCGGATGCCTTGTTAGGGTTATCTGAAGATCATGCGCCACCAGCAAGTGGCGCCAACAACAGCAACAACAGCAACAACCTCCAAACAGAACCTACTACTCTTGCTACTACTCTTCCCACCACTCTTCCCACCACCCTTCCCAACTCCAACCCTGACACTGTCAACACCGCCATCGCCGGCATAACCGACAAAGTCTGGCACTCCTCCAAGACCCCCGAGCTCAGTGCCGACCAAACCAGCTGGATCAACAGCTGGCTCCTAAAGAACCCCGCCTTCCGCCATGAGCTCCTCACCGACGGCTCCGCCCTCACCTTTGTGCGCACCCGCTACGGCGCCACCCGCCCGGACATTGTCGAGGTCTACGAGAAGCTCCCCATCCCCATCCTCCGCGCCGACCTCCTCCGCTACCTGATCGTGTTGGCGGAAGGTGGCATCTGGAGCGACCTCGACGTCACCTGCGACACGGAGGTCGCAGCCTGGGTGCCCCCGGAGTACCACGCCTCCAATATCGACATGATCGTGGGGCTAGAGTTCGACTTTGGGTGGCGCGGCGAAGGCACCGAGGTGGCGTCGCAGTTCTGCAACTGGGTGTTCGCGGCGCGGCCGGCCTCCCGCAATCTGGCAGCGGTGGTGGACGCGGTCGTCGCTAAGCTGAAGGAGATCGCAGCCTTGAATGGGGTGGGCGTGGACCAGTTGACGCTGGAAATGTTGCCCGTCGACGTGGTGAATGTCACGGGCCCGAAGATCATGACCATTGCGCTGTTGGACGGGTTGCAGGGGTTACTGGGCAGGGTGGTCGATGATCGGGATTTCCACGACATCAAATCCCCGAAACTGGTGGGGGATTTGCTGATCATGCCTGGCAATGCGTTTGCAGCGGCGCAGAATGGGTTCCCCACGGATCAGAGTCCGGCGTTGGTGAGCCATCATTATGCTGGATCGTGGAAGCAAGCGGATGCAGAGGCCAAGGAAAGGAAGAAGCAGCAGGGGCAGCAGGAGCAGCAGGAGCAGCAGCAAAAACAGCAGTAGAGGTAGGGTCGGGCAATGTGTATAATGAGATCGTCTATGTATATGTAATTTTTCATGATATCCTGAATGTCAACTTCGGAATTTTCTTCGTCCAAGAATTCAAGAAACGTCGCCCAGAGGGATTCTTCCATCTTTTAGGAATTATGATGCTGTATGAATGACAAGTGCTTGCATTGAGCTACCCGCTGGTCTCGAGTTCATATAACTCCCTTGCGATATTAAGGTCTGACTTAGGCCAAAGCTTCAAGACGAAATGAAATCTTGTTTCGAGAGCGGTTGGACCCCCTGTAAATCATTGTCACCATTATCGTAGGAGAACTTACTGAGCAGACGAAAGGCAGCTCGTATACAGCTAAAATCAGCTGGCGGGGTGAATGGTTCGAGTGACGTCATGATCCACAGCCTACTCTCACATCAGCTCGTATCTTCATCCGCTGTCAACAAAGAAGACTCAACTATATAAGGCCCCAATTCCTTCGTCCCATCTTATTCTCAACCGTGAAGTCTTTCTACTCTGAAACAAAATGTCCGCAAAAGTCCAAGCTGAGTCGCTTCTATATCTAGTGGGCCTGGTGGGCATGCTAGGGACCTGGGGCCGTTCCGCGCTCGACGGCTCCACTGCGCTTCTCTTACGGGTGCTGGATGGCTCTAAGCCCTACATTCTTGCCGGAACCGAGGCCACTCTGCGGAGAACCTTTACTGGCATTCGCTACCCACTTGATTGCACTCTTTCGGTGTTGATTGCTTTCTGGTACGAGGCTGTCGATGGTTCTCACCCTGCTGCCTCAGCAGTTAGTCTTTATTTCCTCGGACAGCTGTTGCCGTGCATTGTCATCGCCTACGTAAATGGTGTCCGAGGCGAAAGGCCGAGTCTTTTGAAGTATGTGCATCACGCAGATCTCTGTTCTATCGGCAAAGATAGTCATCGCCCAGGCTAACCTCGATTCTCCTGGGGTTAAAGACCAACTCTCTGGCTATTACTCTTCCAAGGCTGTACCATAGGCTCGACCGGCTTCCTATGGGCCTTGAACTACATCGCCACTTCTCCCACTGTTAGCCTCCCCACGCAAATCAATCTCAACACTCTCCAGCACAACTCCACCATCTCATCCTTCGCACCGCTGGTGAAGTGCTTCCTCTTCCCCGCCATTGTCCTCAGCTACCTTGTCCCCGCCGCGCTCATGGCCCTTCCCGTGGCCAGGTCAATCAGCAACAGCAGCGATTTCCACCAACTCGCCATTGTCGCCTGGAACCTCTATCCCCTGCTGACGCTGGCATTACTCTACACCCTGCGCCCTCTCCTAAAGCTCATCACCCCAGCAAGTACCACTCCCGCAACCTCCAAAAAGAACGAAGCACACATCCACGCCATCCGAGCCGCCACCATCCCCGCCTTCCTCTTCAGCACACTGATGCACATCTCCATCGTGGCCGTCTCTATCACCACCGTTCTCTTCCCGACTTTGTTCCAACCCACCTACCGCAATGAACTGCACTCGACCGCTATTTTCATCCCGCCACTGGCCATCGGCCCGCAAGCCAAATCACCGGGTGACGGAGTGCGTGGATTCTTACTCTGGGATCAAGTAGCCGGGTACTCGACGGTAATGACTGTGGTAATGCTGGAACTGCGGAGTGCCTGGGCGGCGAGGGGGTGGGAGTTTCAGTGGAAGAGAATGGTTCCTGCTGCGCTGGGAGGGTCGTTGTTGCTGGGGCCTGGGAGTGCATGCTTGCTTGGGAGCTGGATTCGGGATGAAGTGTTGTGTGGAGGGTGGGTTGAGGAGGATAGGCAGGTGAGGAAGGCGGAGTGAGAGATTGAGGTCTCCAACGGGTGTCTGGTATTATCGAGGGAAACTGGAGAGAGAAGGTCTTATTACTGGATGGTTGGAGGGCATTCGCGGGAATGATGCCGATCAGTCACGTCGGACAGCGACCGGCGCAAGATAAGCCTCGGAACTCGGAAGGAGATAAGATGGCCCGGAACTGGAGACAGGGCATGTGAACAGCGAAGCTTTGATCGGCTTGAGTTTGGGAGAGATTAGTGATACTGTATACCGTAATTCGAAGGGACCTCCACTAGCTCGCTTCTATTACGCAATAAGCTACTCTGACGCCAAGTTCGATCTCGCTGTACATGTACGGCCGAGGTTACTATCGTGCGCCGAGGGCCCAGATTGCCTGAATAGGCTGGTATCGGGAGAGATTGAGGTATCTGCCGGTAGAATATATTCTCTCTCAAGGTGTATACAATTCATGAATGACTAAAAATCAAGATACTGAGAGATACTCTTGTAGAGTACAGTAGCCGCACCCTGATCCGCGCGGGTTTGAAGACAACCCGGAATCTCTTCCTCCGGAGTCCTGCGATTACAGCCAAGCCCGAGAACCCGGGCCGATTTGCGCGGCCCCTTCTGGATCACTTCAGCACTTTTCGTTGCACTATACAGATGTGCCCCGCGACAAATGTCGAGCACATTCGTCTTATCCGAAGCTGTGAAGGATCACCTTACACGGGTGAAGCTTATCAACTTTAGTGGGCCGTGTCGTCACTCCCTCTTTCTAATGATCCTACCTCTCGATGAAAGGATGGTGCCGAGTTCCCGTGGTGGATACTATATCACTAAACATTATTGTCCCCAATTGCCATAACAGGTGCAACGGATGAGAAACGTCCCACCAATGCCCCGTCCCGCGCCTCGAAATGGGACAAGCGGCTTCATGAGGTGAGGATGAGATCAGGACACCTACGTTAACATCAGTCCACACCTATATGATGCCCTAGTATGGTGGGACCGGAGAGGGACAGGCGGCCCTAGAATCAAGGACCTCAAGAGTACTTAAGGTGGTCTGGCCCCAGCTGCGACAGTCTTTGAGACACCTTTCTGACAGACAAGGCCATCCATAGCATAAGTAAAGTCAACGTTATGTCGAAGATCGAAGATCAAACAATTCTCATCACCGGAGCCTCCGGCTTCGTCGCCACGCACGTTCTCCGGGTCTTCCTCCAACGGGGCTACCGTGTACGTGGCACAGTCCGCTCCGAGCAAACTGCCGAGAAAGTGCGCGAGATCTTCGCAGAGTACGGCGACAAGCTATCCTTCACAATCGTCAAGGATATCGCCCAGCCGGGGGCGTTCGATGAAGCCGTAAAGGGCGTTCAAGGCGTGAGTAGCCCCCAGGCTCTTAAGACCCGCTCACCGCATACATCTGGTCAAGAACGACCAAAGGCTGATATCTGAGCAATGAAAAGATAATCCACACTGCCTCCCCCTTCGCGTTCAGCGTCCAAGACCAAGAACGCGACCTCCTCCAACCCGCCATCCAAGGCACCCTCCAGCTCCTCTCCGCCGCCCACCGCCACGCACCCCAGGTGCAGCGCGTCGTGCTCACCTCCTCCTTCGCCGCCATCGTCAACCTCCGCAAGGGCTACTGGCCCGAACACACCTACACCGAAGCCGACTGGAACCCGGAGACGTACGAGCAGGCCAAGACCGCTGACGGACCCACGGCGTACTGCGCTTCGAAGGCGCTGGCCGAGAAAGCCGCGTGGGAGTTCGTGGAGCACGAGAAGCCCAACTTTACCCTGTCGACGATCTGTCCCCCGATGATCTACGGGCCGGTGGAGCACCACGTTACGAACCTGGATCGTCTGAACGAGAGCGCCGCGGACGTGTATCGGTTCATGAACGGGAGTCTGAGCGAGATCCCCCCTACGGGATTCCCGGCCTGGGTGAATGTGCGGGATGTGGCGGAGGCGCATCTGCGCGCGTTTGAGGTTGAGGGGGCGGCCAACGAGCGGTTCTTTGTGGTCGCCGGAAATTTTGATTATGCGCAGGTGTGTGAGATCTTGAGAACGAAGGTGCCTGGCGTCGATACGGTGAAGGTCCCTCAGGGCAAGGCGGCGCGGGAGGTTCCCCAGGTGTATGGGGTGTCGAATGAGAAGGTGCGCACGCGGCTGGGGATCGAGTTCTATTCCTTGGAGGCGAGTATCAAGGATACGGCGGAATCTTTGTTGAAACTCGAGAAGACATTAGGGCAATGATGGCCGACACAAGTATGGATCTTATGGCTCTAGAATGGTACATTAAATGAAAGAGAAGTGAATATGACTGTTCCCTGGCTGCATTGGTTTGTTGTTAGCTCCAGAAGCAGTGAACGACCAGGCTATTGTGTTCTGATGCCGAGCCAGTACCAATCATTGCAACGATGGTTTCTTTCAGGGGTGGAGTATAATCCAGTGAGCGGACAATGGTTCAGTCGACAAAGAGATAGTTCAAGGAACCATAGACAAAAAGGGTGGTCGAAACAAAGGAACGGGGTTGTATAGAGCGCGTACAAAGAACAGCAGAAGCTTCTCATAAGCATATGTTTCTGTCTTGAGCGTCGTCGAGGGATCTACTTATTAAAGCAAAGAACGAACACAAGGGGAGCCACACACAGGGGGAACAGCATCGACCATATAAATTCAGCAGTTCCCCCGCCCACAACCAGTCCCATTTCCTTGTTACCAACATCTTCAACACAACTCAACCTGCCTCCCCGCTTGCTCATCGACACATTTTCGACCTCTCGCAATCTGTGACCATCCAATCGTGTTCATTCACAATCATACAAAATGGACCACGAACTCGAAAAGGGTCTTCGCCATGACGAAGAGGCTCCTGAAATCCGCCGGCTCGACCCTGCTTTCAAGAAGCCGAAAAGCCGGCGTTGCGAAGTCGTGGAATGTATTTGTTCTACATTGTTGCTGCTCGGGATCGGTAGTCTTGTCACTTACTTTATCTTGCGGTACATCTATGGCGAGAGAGAGGCCCGGCTCCAGGAGGAGTGTGGCCAAGCCCATGAGCATCTGCAAGCGCGCTGGGGCGGGTTTGCCGAGCGGCCGATGGACAACAAGTGCTATCGGCAAGAACGCACGGCGATTCTGCTGTCAATGTTCCTGGGATTTTTCGGCGTCGACCAGTGGTATGCGCACCATTGGGCGCTTGCTATCTTCAAGATGTCATCAGGGTTGACGTTCCTGTTGATTAGGAACATTCCGTCCACGGTCCTCGACAGGACGGATTCTTGTCTTCTTTGGGCTTTCCTCGGCCTTACCTACGGCCTTTTCATGGTAGCTACGCCAGTCTGGTGGCTGACCGACACCATTCTATGGACGGTCGGGGGGTACTATGGCACCCCTGGTTGCCCTGGCGGTAGCGGATCGTGGAGATACTAAGCGGTTCAGTCTTTCGCGCCGTGATCAAATGGCAAGATAGGCAAGGGCACTCTTTAGTACCGGAGAAAAGGCTTGATATGTGAAATCAGGCAGCTGGCGTGTTTTGAAGTTGACTTTGTATTGGCATGGGTCTCTCACTAGACCGAGTCTCATTTTGGTGCGAAAGAGCAGTAACCTGTACATCCACAGAATCAGTTTCGTTTGTGACTATATATTTTCTTGTCCACGTTCTTGCGTATTGCATGTAGAGATTAAAGATCTCTCGTCACACGTCCAATGCTGGAAACTATTGTATCTTCCCAGTTAGTGATGAGTCTAATTTTTAATGCTTGTTCTTTTCTTTTCCTCTTCTACTTTTCTGTTTTCTGTTTTCTGTATTTTCTCTCCTCCAAATTCTGCGGGCGCGGGAATTGAGCCAGATGATAATAGCAAAGATAGGGCAAGCCTTGGCACCACAGTGACACCTCAGGCACCAAAACAGCACAAGAGAAAATCTTTTCTTAGAACTCGCCCCCGTTCACACCCTATGACTCGGTTAGTGGTAGTCTATCAGGCACCAGCAGGCATCAGCAGGCACCCCCCCGTGTCAAACCTTAGTCCCTCGCTAACCACATCAGGGCTGCGGACTGGACTAAATGGCACTAGGTCGGTGGCCAAGAGGCTCAATGAAGAAAATCCGGAACAAACCGTCCAACTTTACGAGGCTAGTTGAAGGAGCTAGGCTGCATTGCGGATAGCCCTATATCCGAACCTTGAAAGCGAGGCCGCTAGCCTCTTTCCCCTGTCGGTTCTCGCCCCCGGCAATTTCCCACCAGCGACGAGGTGGTATTTTGTCAGGAGAGAGGTCGGGGGAGAAATCCATCAGAGATTTTGGTATTCTGGCACTCTACGGAGTACACTTTGCCAGATGGTAAAGGGCATGGGTGTGAGTCAGCAGCAATTGTTAGACGAACACGTGAACCCGGCTGAGACACATGGTCAGGATCTGATGCAGAAGTCAATTGACCCTATTGACCCTGAAAACAAAGATTGTAAAGAGGGTCTTAGCGCCCTAGACCCTTCACATAGTCCCTGCGTATGAAACCCGGCCAATTACAGCTGGTAGAATCGGCGGAGGAGCGAAAGCCAATTTCCCTTACTAGATAGACTCTCCATACGGCGTGACTCTACAGAGTTGAGCCTAGTGTGTTGTTTGACCCCTCGTATAATAAGGCCAGTGAGCGCCACACCCATCCTCCATTTTTTGCGTGCTCCTTTAGTTCATTTACACCGGCGACCATCCCAGGATGGCGTCCTCACATTCGTTTTTGTTGTTTCTGTCACTCATTTGGGTCCAGCTGTCTTCATTCGTTGCGGCAGCTCCCTGGATTATCACTGCCTACTACCAAGAGAACGTCTACACCGAGTCCGACTACTACGAGACGTATACCACCACCGAAATCGAACAAATCACCCCCACGGTCACCTCCCTACCCCCAGCCAAGTCCACCATCACCTCGATCGCCACCTATCGCGAGTACGGTGGTTACAATGAAGTCATCAACTCCAATTCCGATATCACTGTCATCCAAGAGCTGTACCCCACCGGCGTGGGGTCTGATTACTATGACTACCTCTACGACAATGAGGACGCAGCCGACAGCACGATGTTCGTGGTCAACCTGACTTTCACGGCACCCACAGGCTGCTCCTCGCACTGGACCACGACAACTGCAGCCGAGATCTACCCGCCGGTCCGCGTGCAGAGCCTACTGCCCTTGACCGCGGTCTCCACCTCCCTGTCCGTCGACAACAGCCAGCCCTTCCAGCCCACCACCTACACCATCGACATCGTGTACGTCGACCCGACCCAGGTCCCCAGCAGCTCTCTGAGCTCCCTGAGTCAGTACAACCAACCGACCGAGCTCTACACCGGCGACGGCTGCTACCCCACCAGCACTAGTTCCTCCAGCTCGTACGGCAGTGGCTACTACAATGGGTACTACAACAACTGGGACGACGAGAACTACAACTGGTTCCTCGACCCGGACTACTTCGGGATCTCGCCCCTGGCCCTGACCCTGATTCTGACCCTCGGCTGGATCGGTCTGTTCCTGATTCTGGGCTTCATCGAGGCCTGGGTCCGCTTCCGCCGCCTGATGACCGGCTGGCAGACCCGGCGCGGCATCCCCGTCTTCTGGTCGCTGACTATTCTTCCCTTGACGTTGTTCCTGCTGTGCTGGTTCCGCAAGGGCTACCGGGCGCGCTCGCAGGCCGACGGCGAGGTTCTGAAGAAGCGCTGGAAGGCGATGGGCTTCGGGACGAAGCTCAAGCTCTTCTTTGTCTGGGGCTTCCGCTTCAAGTACCCGCCCATGCTGGGTCCGGCCCCGGCACGCGTTAAGACCAGCAAGCAGCCCGAGAGGACCCCCGGTCCGCGCCTGCTCGAACCCAGTCCTGCGTCCAGTGTGGCGCCGCAGTCGAGGCACGGGTCGACGGTCGAGGCAAGTGGCGCTGTGGCTGCTGCCCCTGCTGCCGCTGCTCCCGCTGCTACTGCTGGCCCGGAGATGGCGGAAACGTCGCACTCGGCCCCGGTCGCACATCAGCCTCAGGAATCTTCTGCGCATTCAAATGCTCAGGATGAAGAGATTGGCCATGCACGCTAGTGTGCGAGCTGACGTGAGATCTGTGGGGGCATATTGCAATGTGGATAAGTGATCTGAACATCACCGAGGGTGAACCCCCAACCCAATCACGTGATCCCCAAATACCCTGATAGAACACCCCGTCATTTTTTGCTTCTATTAATCCCATATATCGGGATCTACCTTCGTAATGTCTTAATGTATCTATTGTGAGCATGAATAGACCCAATGAAAAATTATATTTTGACGTTCACCAGGCATAGCAGAGCCCCCCCCCCCCGCTTCGTAGCGCTGCAGGAAGTGTCACAGAACCCTGCTCCCTGGGCATTCGCCCCCAGATCCATCTCGCTATACAAATCGGTCCTACCCTTGCCCTTCACATTCACCATACCTATATCTGCAACACCAAAACACAGCGTGAGCCTGCGCACGACTGCGGTAGGGATATCATACAACGAACCCCTCCGCCACCTTTTGTCCAATTCACACTGTTAAGTGAAATACGATAGAGGTTGAGGTAGGTGTTGACACTGACTATCACATTCTCAGCCATGCTCCTGGGCAGTCCTTGGAAGTCTGTTGGGCTATGGACTTCTGATTCCTTCAAGGCCCTTGAAATAGGTTTGTTGAGTTCCTTGCATGGCACTGGAGTGCAAGTAGCTACGATTCTTGACTCTCCATGCAGCCGAACACAGTGATAGGTAGGGCTGGGGCTGACAACAGCCAGTCTTACCGCCCGTGGGATGGTGCGGCGTGCTGCGGAAATTCCCGCCCACCTCTCATCACTCGATAGCCCACTTGCTTGAGTGACTGCTGATGCAACAAGCTACTTCTCTAAGTACATGCTGGAGTACTCGATTCTAATTCTCGGAGCGTCTTGTGAGTAGAACATTGACTCAAAGTCAAAAGCATACCTAGCCTAAAGCACTCAGCCTCACCTCCCGTGACCGTTGGCATGCGGGGTGCTCCTGCTGTACTGTATAATTAAACAATAATTGGTCCAGAACCCAATCAACCATAGCGACGCCAAGTGCTTGCATAGCGTTGGGGTGACAGTTGGGCTGGCAGCACGCGATGAGCCGCCCATGCAGACATGCCCAGAACTTTCCCCGCCATTCACATATTACCCGGCCTCGTCAGCCGCACCTCTGCAGCTTTGAATACGAGGCTGGTGTAAGTTGTTTCCCTCGGTTCTTCATCTATACGCAGCACGATTTGAGATGCATGCACTTCTGTCAGGCCCAAAGTAAACCTGGTAAAGCTTCCTCTTACAAGTGATAGATATATCGATGAGGATCCAGATACGGAAAACTCTCAGGGATACTCCAAGAATCAAAGCCAGTCATTAGACTAAGCGCGCGCGGGGCTGATTGACAGCAGTAACACGGCGGACAACACCCCATCTCCTTCCTCACGCCTCAGCCTTGTCTCGCCCGCAAACATCCCTGCATTGACACACCCACCCTTAAAAATCTACTAAACTATAAGATCTAACACCCTCCCCACGTTTTCTCACCTCATTTCCTGAGGTAAAACACCTTTGTCTGGCCGTTTGCTCTAAACGGTACACCCCCACAACCCAGCTTCCACGTCCCCTGCTTACCAAAGTGAGTAGCACAATGGCCGCCCCGCAAGCGCCAGACCCCTCCACCACCAAGAACCCCCAAGCAACCCTCACCGCATTCTGGAACAGCTTCATCACAAAAACCCCGGGCAAGGTCACCACTATTTTCCCTCAGAGCCTCTACGCGGATCTCCTTCCGTCGCAGCAGGCAACCCCGGGCCAATCGTCCGCGCGCAATGCAGCAGAGAGCTACGAAGCCGCCGCGCGCCAGTGCCGGGCGGAGGTCCAGCGCATCGTGCGGGAGTGCCACCGCGGGAACGAGAAATTCACGGACCCCGACTTCGACATCGAGAACGATCGCGAGCTGGAGTTGTGGAACTGTCTGCGCGGGTTAGTGCGGGGGGAGACATTCGGTGGGGAGAGTAGGGGGGTGCCTATGCGTATCGCACGCGAAAGAAATGGTGCTGCGGCGCGAAGGGGGGATAGAGTGCGGAGAAAGGGGGTTAGGGGGTATGCTACGAAGGCGAACGACGACTGGCGCTCCAGCAGCTCCTCCTCCTCCTCCTCCGATGACAATGAGGACGATGAAGGGGGCGTCCCCGGCTCCGTCCACCGCGTCGACTGGATCTTCGAGAACCCCCAGTTCACGATCGACGGGTATTCGAATACCGATATCAAGCAGGGCGCCAACGGCGACTGCTGGTGGCTGGCGGCCGTCGCCACGATCTGCAACCGGCAGGACCTGATGGACCGGATCTGTGTCGCGCGCGACGAGGAGTGCGGCGTCTACGGCTTCGTCTTCTACCGCGACGGCGGGTGGGTCTCCACCGTCGTCGACGACAATCTGTACCTGTCTCACGAGGACTTTGACTTCTACGGGGATCGCTACGACAGTACGGGCCGCCTGGCGCGGCAGTACCGCCAGCGCCATCAGACGGGCTCCGAGGCGCTGTATTTCGCCAAGTGCTCCGATGCGAACGAGACCTGGTTGCCGTTGCTGGAGAAGGCGTATGCCAAGGTGCATGGGGACTACGAGGCGCTCTCCGGGGGCTGGTCCGGGGAGGCGGTCGAGGATATGACTGGCGGCGTGACGACGACGATCGCGACGAACAAGGTGCTCAATAAGAACACGCTGTGGAAGGAGCTGGTCAATGCGGAGCGGGATTTTGTGTTCGCTGCGTCAGCGCTGGGGTCGGGCAGGGATTGGACGCGAGGGGGTCTGGCGCTGGGACATGCTTATTCGATTCTCCGGGCGACAGAGGAGGAGGATGAAGATGGGAATAAGGTGCGGTTGGTGCTGGTGAGGTATGTCTGTTCTTGATCTGGGGTTCTGGCTGGATAGGGCTGACATGCTGTCTTTGTCTAGGAACCCGTGGGGAGAAAGGAATACCGGCGGGGTCGGGGAGTGGAATGGCCCCTGGAGCGACGGCTCGCGCGAGTGGACCCCTTACTGGCTTCAGAAACTGCAGCACCGATTCGGCGACGACGGCATGTTCTGGATGGCCTATGAGGATCTGCTTTCGACGTTTGTGTTCCTGCACCGAACGCGCATCTTCGACGAGACGTGGACGGTCGTCCAGCGGTGGACGAGTGTCAGTGTCCCCTGGATCGAAGGGTATCTTCGCACCAAGTTCGTGGTCGAAATTGGGGTAGCTGGTACTGTGGTTTTTGTTCTCTCCGAAGTGATCGCATCGATATCATGATGGTTATATAAGCAGATGCTAATTTGGCTGCAGGTTGATAAGCGCTATCTGAGAGGCCTTGAAGGGCAGTACGAATTTGCGCTGCACTTCCTCCTCCAGGAGGAGAATGCGAAGCCCGGAGAGCACTTGTTGCTAGTCCGGCCGATTCAGTGCCGCGGCAACCGCTCGATCAGTGCGGAGGTTACACTTGAGCCCGGGAGATACGAAGTTCTCATCAAGCTTCTCGCAACCAGAGACTCCGACAAGAAGAATGTGGAAGATGTGGTGAGGGAGTGGGTGGAGAAGAATCCCCAGAAGCTAAAACAGGTTGCCATGAATTACGACCTGGCGAGTGCTAAAGTTCAATCTGGGAAACAGATGGAAGTTCAGAGCAATAAAGCCTCAAATGCGACCGCGGAGACTGCAAAGGATGGAGCTGGCAAGAATGAGGCTGGCAAGGATGGTGTCAAGGATGACATTGCCCAAGATGAGGTTGGCAAAGATGAGTCTGGAAATAATCAACAGGCACACGAGGCAAGAACAGAGAACGATCTGCATGGAGCTAGCAAGGAAGATACTCCTCAAAGAGAAGGTCACGATTCAGACGCTTCACACTCACAACTCCAAACGCCCGCTGCATCAACAAAGCTGCATGAGGAGAAAGACAATGACGTTGAAGAACACCACAAAGACAAAGTACAAGACGATACAAAACACCACGACGAGCCGGGTGAAGACAAGAGACATGAAAACAATAAGGATGATGAGAGGAAGCAGGATGACAAGAAACACCATGAAGACAACCGCCATGATGACAAGAAGGAAGTTGATAAGAAAGACGACAAACAAGACAATGACAATAAAAACCAAGATAAGGAAGAAGCAACTTCCCAGGACCAGGCAATCGATACAGATGGCAGTTCGCCATCGCCATGGAATGCAATCTGTGTGCTTGGCCTGCGGGTCTATGCCCATGATTCTCAAGTTAACATTGAGCTTGTGAAGTAGCCTTTTGATAATATTTCCAACTGCTTGCAAGGTCTAGATAGGACTAAATCGTCGCCCAATTTGTCCATGCTGCATGATGGCAAGAGAAATTTATCTCTTATCACAACATTGGCTTTGTGTAATAGGAGGAAGTGATCCAGGTGTGAAACTAAGGTATCATTCCCTGAGGTTCCCGTTAAGAACACGGCGATTCAACCAAGCCATACAAACACAGCTTGAACACGTCAATGAATATATCTATAACTCTTCAGAGTAGTTACTAACTGCAGCTATATGTCTTCTTCCAATGCCTTTTAACTTTTCGCTCGCTTTGTGAATGGATGACGGGATTCTTCTGTGCAGCCAGTATCATTCATTCATGTTAACGGTCCTTCTATTCAATGTCCCGGACAGACTGACATCCAGATATCGCAGAGACAAACAACTAATTCCTACCTTGTGTATATAAGAGCGGCTCGTGCTCTCCCACCACGTCCATCATTCCCAAGACACTTTCCTCGGTATCGATATCGATAAGCAGCAACAGTCTACCCCTCACGCGATGTTGAATATGAAACAGGAACCATTCTCTCCAGGCCCGATCTTAGCTCAGAGTCAGGCAAGAGAAGTCAAGGTAGAAAGGACCGGCAACATCAGCGGGCTCCGATACATCACATGTCGCTGTGAGGACAACGAGCCACGGACGGGCATTGTCGGTGGCATCCTCCATCTGGAGGGCAGATGGTTCGGATTGACGGTGCTCACACCCTTCCTCGAGGACAACCCTCACAATGGCGACGGCGGCCAGCTCTTCTGGTATAGCGCCCCCTACGAGTCGGAATTCAAGTCGACCGAGATCTACGATGCGCGCGAGCCTCACGCCCTCTGGGGGCGCATCCCTCCGAATCCCGAGACCCTGCAGCCCCTCGAGCAATATTTCTCCCGGTCTGAGAACTGGGCCCTCGTTGAGCTCGTTAACCACGAGTTCGCAGAGACCTGCGTGCCCGGTCCGGAAGCGAGCTGGGTGCTGCTCCCCAGCATCACGGACGAAAAGCCCGTGCCGCGTTGGCAGCTGATGATTCCGGACCGGGTGCTTCCCCCAAGTGATGAGCCGTTGATGTATGTGAAGCGCTTGGAGCGGTCGAAAGAAACTGTGCGTATGTGCTACCACTATGCCTTCAAGTTGGGCGGTTTCCTCGCGGAGTCCGGAGCGTGGGTAATCGAGGAGCCGCATCTCAGCGTCGTCGGCATCGTTCACGATTCGAATCGTTTCACAATTCAAGCCAACCCGGCGTGGTGGACATTTGTTGAGCTCAAGCAGCGCTTTCCGGACCTCAAACCACCCTTGATCTGCTGTGGGTTCCCGAAAGACAGTGAATTCCTCGGCAGCGGGTACGGTACGACATCGACGACGTTCCCAAAAAAGAAGAAGATGGCACCTCAGTTTGACCGATCTATGGATCCATTCTAACCTTACAGCGTCTATGCAATCAATCAAATTATCCTTTGAATGTTCTATGCGCTATATCTTTACTAAGCCCTATCTGTCAATCTATCAGGAGAGCACCTCTTCGTTCTGTTCCTGGTCTAGTTCTTTGATTCGTCCTAATTCATAGCAGACCTTTCGGTATACACCACATTTATGGCTACAGCTGCTGAACGGCGACATCAACCTTGAAATTTCGCGCATCCGGTGATTCTACTGGTTATCTATCTCCATCCAAGGTTTCTACATATCACCTCTGGCTGCACCTCGCATGGGATGCTGGGCCCTCGAGTTTACTGGATTTCCGATGACCTTCCGAGAACCCTGACCCCTATCAAGTCGTGATTCGAGCCACGGAGAGCAGTCAATAGTCTCAATTACGTTTACAAAAGCTTTACCCAAAAACTTGCAGGAGTCCAATTACCCTGAATCACTTTGATCTTTCCATTGATAATTTGCTACAGTGAGGACTCTCGAACAAAAACAGACCGGGTCGAGAGAATGGCTTCATGGCCGTCGAAAGAACCCTCCAACAAACGGAAAGTAAGTATTCCAATAAATAATGTGTCTTCCCGAGCTTTCTCCAAGATCCTGTTGCACACGAAGCTCGCGCGGACCTCCTACGCTACAATAAACAGCTGCGAGTTCACTGGGACATTCTGATCGGACGGAAGATCCGCCATGGAGAGCCTGACTTGCGGACCGAAAATCAGACAATGCGTGCTGCCGCCGAAATGGAACATCCCAAGTTGATCGCCCTTGCTCACAGCGTCGCCGACCTGCACCGTGGGCTCGCAGGAGCCGCGCTCCCGCATGCCGGCGAAGACGCACGCGACGGGGCCCAGCTTGCCGCTATCGAGCACGATGACGCACCGGGTGGCCTCGTGCAGCGCCGCCCCGACCTCGTACTCGATCGCACCCGTGAAGGGAGACGCGTTGAAGGCTGCGTTCGGCCCGGAGGGGAAGTACGTGCCCGCGATGACATGCGACGAGATGACGGTGCCGGAGACGGGCGCGTGCCAGCGGTGGTAGTTCGTCCCGCTCAGGTAGCCCTGGTAGAGCCGTCCGCCGCCAAACTTCTCGGCCAGATTCTCGTCGTTGAACATCATGCTGAGCGAGTACTTGTGACCCTTGATGTCGAAGGTGTCGGAGAGCTGGACGTCCGGCTCGAAGACGACCTTGATCGACTCGCAGGCGGCCGTGATGACATTGTCGTCGTCCGGGCCCGCGACGGGCCGCACGCCCTCCCGGAACTCGCGGGTGAAGAACTGGTCCCAGGACTGGTAGCCGTAGTGGATGTCATCAGGCTCACACTTGTACTGACGGAAGAAGGTATCCCGCCCCTCAGGGAGGGCCGCGTCGTTGAACCATCCTCCGTCTTCGTCGGTGAGGACGCTGGCGGACTCCGGGGACTTCAGGTAGACTGTCCACTCCTTGAGCAGGGATTGGAGAACCTTGTCGACTCGCGCGTCCTTGAAGAATTCCTGCCCAGCCTGGGTCTTAAGATAGGGCTCCAGCAGGTTGGTCAGGATCCCCATGCTGCCTCCGAGGGAGTTCCTAGCGGCAGAAGCGTCGTAGGCAGGAGCAGTCCGCGTGATCTTGTCCAGGTTCACCAGGAAGTTGGCCAGGTTCTGCGTAACGTTCAGGGGATCGGATCCAGCCTGGATGAACATTGCGGTGGCATTCTTGAGCAGGGTAGGATCATTCTGGATTAGGGCTCGGAAGTCTTTCACCGTGCCGGAGGTCGCCTGCCCCAGGTCGGGCAGGGTCACCTTAGGAAGGGTCACTTGAGACTTCAACAAATCCATGTGTTCGTTTGAGAAAATAGTCTCGGTGTGTTCTGTGTAAGGCAATCTCTGAAGATGATTCACATACTCAGCCCAGGAAAACCATTGAGCTTAAGTAGAATGCGACCGCGGGGAGGTTCTGGAGCTCCAGTTGCCTCTGCTGTCACCATGACGCGCACATACCCTGTGGGCTATGAAATCCTGCATCCATTGTACGACCGATCGACAGCTGGAAACTCAGAGCCCCGGCCGGTCCGACCCTAGTGTGCTGTCTATTGGATCGTGGGTATTGGATACTCTGTGCGTAGTCCCTGGTGGGGGGCATGTTAATCTATAGACCCCTGTTCAACAGTGGATCTTGTCGGCGCTGCGACCGGTTTCAGTCCATACTTGCTTTTTTGGTTTCTCAGCCCACGAACCCCGCAGTTACATTTCTGCAGCTTGAAACAAGGTATGAAGAGTATAGTTCGTGGAATGGTTGGTGTGTGGGTTGTGTTATGTCACCGTGCATCGGAGTGGGCTGATCTAGATCTGCAGCTAAAATGCCTCGGTCACACGGCTTGCCCCCCATCACCCATGATCTACATATGGACACCTTGAGAGGCCCGTGTGGGTTTAGAATTACCTAACTACAAAAGACATCCTTTTTGCTTGCTTTCTGCCCCCAGAGAATAAAGAGACCTTGGGAGCGGGGCAAAAATCGCCGAGTGGCTGCGAGCTATGGGCCTGCTGCCAGCTTAGATTTGGTGAATACTGTCCTGTGGCTGTAAGTCCGGACAGCTGTATTTGCAACGCTCGACTCTTGTGGGTAACATCTTCAACATGGTCAATGTCGACGCCTTTAAACATGTCTGAAGATATTATTTTTCCGAACGGCAAATGACAAAAGAAGGGAAGAAGCTCCATGCGATGCAATGGGGAAGTTCTATAGACAAGATCATATCGATTATTGTACACTACATGATACACTTTGCAAAGCCAGCTGGGACATACAGTCAGAAGTACAATAGAAGATTTTCATGATGAACTCACGTCTTGGAGGCTTTATCCTTGTCTCCATTACTTTACGCCATTTCATTCAGGCTAGAAACTCAGGTTTCTAGCTCATGAGCCAGGATCAAATTGAAGATATACAGGGTAGTTTGTGTCCATTTCTGACCACAGACCAATCTGGCCGGCGTCAAGACTGCGCATTAAACAAGATCAACAAGATCAATATGCTGATAGCATGCCAATCAAAAGACTAGAGTGAGGTAAATTCAGCTCGTTAGTTGTCAGATAAAGCAGGCTTGATGCCTGAGTGTGGTTCTGGATACGGTACTGTGCGTATGCACGGAGATAAGATCGATAATCTCCCTGCCAAGCCGGAGGGCTCACCGCCCCTTCCGAACGAGGACGGCAGGGAGATCCATTTTCCCAAAAAGGTAATGTCTTCAAATTTGTGCACGCTAAATCAGATATGATGAGAGATACAGCTGACTACTGGTACAAGCACTGGACAGTCTTGGCGTTGCTGAACCAGTATCCCGGCCACTTCTCGCCGCTGCCCATCTGCCAGGTCGTCAAGTCGGCAATGCCGGGGCTGACGAAGCCTCCCGAGTTGAAGTTGCCCGTCGTCATGTAGCAGTTGCCGGGTTCAACAAACATGGAGCAGACCAAGCCTGAACACAATTAGCTCGAATCTTCGCCGATCGAGGCTCGCTGATCACTCACCCTCATCCGGACCGATAGAGCCCAGGGTATCCCAGAAGCTGATATCCATGCACTCGCCATTGTCGAAGCCGAACAGAGTGCAAGGGCCCGTCCAGTTGCTGTGGAGGATGGAGGTTAGTATCGGACTCGACATGGAAGGGGTGCGATCAACCTACGGTCCGGGGCACATGTAAACGTTTCGCTTGGCAGCGGCGACGCCGGCGAGGACGGCCATGGTGGCGAGGGAAAGGAGCTGCATGGTGGTAGAGGTGAGTATGATCTTGACTGAAAGAAGATGGAGAATGCAATGCGAAGGAGGAGCAAAGAGGAGCAACCCCGGTGCGCTTTATAGATTTTTCTCGCCTGTGAAGTTGTCAGCCGGAGACAGACCAGAAGAATCAAGTCTCGTATGATTGACTGTGAATAAAACATATCCAATCGCTTACGATATAGCGCATTGTTAGACTATTCAGCATACGAGGTAGAAGCATACAATGGAGATGAGAATGAGACTAGAGCCCCGGATACGAAGAACAGTGGCGGGACTGTCATTTCGGGGTCCAGGTCAGTTGCGGTTTTGAGTTTAGCGGCATATATAGTACCGGCTATAGTCCCCACCAGATTGCCCGTCTATTTCGCTTCTCTGCCTGATTCGTGGATTTTCAAGTGGATGAAGACGAGATTGAGAAAGGGTCTCATCTATCGTGGTCGAAAATATCCGCGCCTGTCGACTTCTTCAGGCGCGTGACTTGTTTTTATTCCAGGGCAGCTTGGAGAATGCTGCACAGTGGACTGCCCCGAGAAAGAAATTCTCCACATGATCTATCTTTACCCTTACCTTTTTGTTTCTGTTTCTGTTGTTTCATGGTGGGTGGGTGAGTGAATCATTTACATCAAGGGTTCGAAACGCGGTATAGACCGGGCCAGAAGATTTATAATGATGCTTGTTGTACAATTACTGTCTGAACCGATCAGAGATTCGAGCCTGTGGCTGATTTATTCATCACATCTGCTCCGTCTTATTCCAACCTTGTCAGCAGTTTGATTCTCGCCTATGAATTCGTGGGTGAAGTAGATCGTCGGAACCGGTAAAAATGCTTAGGGTGAAGATCGCGTTTGACATTGCTGCGACGGCCGGCATCTTAAAGACAAAAGCAAATTTTAACGGCTATAGGACTTGGTGACTAGTGATTATGGCAAATCATGCTATCATGAGGCATCAGATATACGACGAAGCGAAGTAGAGTGGGGTGAATTCAATGGAACAACTCCAGCGCTGCCAACTTTTCCATACCTGTCAGCACTAGTGGGCGGCGGACTTGGCAGACCACCCTAAAGAGTGAGATATCCGAGCAGTGCAGAAGGGAAGAGACAAAGAGAGTGGGCCTTATCTCTAGCCTTATTTGTTGAGATCAGTTGACCACAATCGGTCGGGCTCCTGTGACACCGAAGATAATATGGCTTTATGCTTGCTTAACTCATACCCTAAACTCCGCGATGTTCATGTCCAGTAGGTGGCGGCAGATAGATACCTTTTCCGCGACTTCAAGCTGGAACGGAACTGAAAAAAGGCTATGCTGAACAGGATGTATATATTGTGACTTTGTCTTCTGTTTGATTTGATGAGTTACTTATTACACCGCGCCTCGGCATCTTCATTGCGTATAACCACCTATATTATGGAGAGATCGTTTTCCTCCGCACCCGCAGCTTGGCCTTCGGATTCGTGATGTATTCTACGAAAAGGGGTGTCGCGTTCTTCCCTGTATCCACTCTTTCAAACTCATAGTTCTGGAGCACGTGGTTGAGCAGGAGCTTAGTCTTGCTGGATGCAAAGAATCTCCCGGGGCAGGCGTGACTCCCGATGCTGAACCCTAGACTTTCCATAGTGGTCGTCACGAACTGCGACGAGTGCTCCTTCCCGAGCTCCTCACGGAGCTTAAGGTACCGATCGGGCTGCCATTCTTCGGGGTTCGGGTAGAACTCCGGGTCCCACATGCGCGACATATTGGTGGCGACGATGGCGCCTTTCGGAATGAGCGTGCCATCGGGGAGGATCACGTCGTCGCTGACATGGCGGTGCGATAGAGCTAACTGCTGTCAATTCTGGGCTTCTAGGCTGCTTGGAAGGGTAGAGAGGGAAGACGTACGGACACCTAGGGGCTTGATGCGTTGTGTCTCCTTTATGATGCTGTCGGCGAATTTCATACGATAGAGCGACGTTTTCTCCCAGGCACCGTCAGTATGGACTGATTGTTCTTCCTGGAGCAGCGGTTCAATCCACTCCGGATGCCGACAGAGCTGGAGGAGGATATTCGAAAAGAGATCCGATGTTGTGTGCACTGATGCCATGCTCAGCGACAGTTGAATGTGCGCGCCATGATACTCCTTGTCCTTGCCTGTGGCGACTTCGTGCATCCATGTGATAGCATCGTTGGGCATTTCCGCGAGACCCTTCTGGGCTAGGGCGATCTCTTCGATGCGCTTGGCGATGACTGGTTCGATAATTTCTTCGGCCCGCTTGACCTGTTGGCGGATCTTGGAACAGTCCTTCAAGAACCATTGGACATAGGGACGAAACCATGCAGAAAAGCGGCGAATCGATCTCACTGCTTTGAAGACGTTGTCCGTGTATGCTTGTGTATTATTCAGCCATTCCTTGTTGTTGCAGAGTTCGGGTCCCAGGAAGACGCGGGTTGACACCTGTGTGACGATGTCGCGGAGACTGGCCAACAGGTCGATCTCGTGCCATTCTAGTCACTTTATCAATGAGAGATCCTACTCATCGGGTCTGGTAGTGACATACCAGTGCTTGTTCCCCACCGCTCATCGAAAGCCTCCTGAGTCTCTTCTGCAAGGTTTTTCGTGAATTTGCCTGCGGAAGAATGTTAGTGTGGTACCCCCCACTGGTGGTCTCAAAGATGAGGACCAGATCTGGACTGTTTGCTTAACAATTAGCCCCATGGCTGATCTTATATACCGGGCAATTCACACTTGTTCTAACCTAGCCCGACACCTGGTAGATTCGCGAGTGACTCCATTATCCGAAGGTGGAACGATCCGGGCAATAACTACCATCGGCTTTTCCATTCTGGTTATATCCTACACAGGGATGCTAGGCTATCACAGCACACCCTCGGATACCATCCGCTCAACTCACGGACCGAGTGCGATCGAGCCACCGGCTTGGACTTTCGGTGTTCAGTATTCGGCGTTTCAGGTCAGTACCGAATCCAATGCCCACTTTGCACCAACACACGCTCAAACATTGGCCACCACTATACTCAGAAAGGTGATGTACTCCGGTGCTTAAAGTAGAACATCGTGAATCTAGTCAAGGCCGCCGAAGCTGGCTGAGACATTTTGCTAACTTAGGGCTTTTATCAACTGCAATAGGTTGTATTTTCTAGCTCCGCTATACCCACTATCCACCCAGTTGAATAGCTTTCCTCGATATTGCTATTGTTTCTCTGGCCTTTACGCCTTCTCACTCTACTTTCAAGGCGTGGGGCTAGATATGATCTGTGCTGATCGCTCTAATCGATTGCCTCATGACGCTGTCAATCTATCATCTTTGTCCAAGTCCTCCCAGACTATATCCTTGACCCCAACGTTGAATTGAGCTATTCCGTGCGATGCCTCTAAACCATGCGCTAACATGGTTTCGAATACATCGCCGGCCAGTTTGTCGATGTCGGCATTATTACCACTCACAGCCTTATGAACCAACATTTTACATAGTGAAGCAGCCTGGGGAGCCGCAAGCCTCAGGCCGTCTAAGAATTCCTCCACCACCTTCTCCAAAGCATCAAGATCTACTGCAAGCGCATGTATGATTCCTGCATCGTACAACGACTGCGACCTCACCCTCCGGCCAGTGAGCATTGCCATTTTCGCAAGACTGCTTCCCCATTCCCGGACCAGGAATTTCGATATCGTTGCAGGGACGTTTCCAGCGAGGCCTCGGTCGACGAAAGTCTCAGTCGCGTCCGTGCCACTATGCCGGCAATTGCTGGTGTGGCCTTCGGACCACTTGTCCTCCAAGATTTCATGTTCAAGAACATGGACTTGTCGATGCTGGAGATGGTGCTTGCACCCAAGGTCACGGGTGCTCGTCTGCTAAACGAACGTCTCTCGGACCCTGCTAACCCGCTCGACTTCTTTGTGATGTTCTCGTCCTTTGTCATGGTCTCCGGGAATCCCGGACAAGCAGCGTACAGCGCTACAAATGCATACACGCATGCGCTTGCTCAGCAGAGACGTGCCCGTGGGATGGCCGCATCGACCATCGACATTGGCGCCGTGTTCGGAGTCGGGTTCATTGCCAGAGCGGGTCGTGAACACGAGGTAGAGGTCGTTAAGTTTATCTTCAATGAGGTCAACGACTGGGAGCTGCATGCCCTTTTTGCAGAGGCTGTTGTTGCTGGCCGCAACTGGGCGACCAAGGATGTCGAAGTCATCACCGGCATGCCGTACATGAATCCTGCTAACCATGACCGAATCCCCTACTTTGACGACCACGCTTTGCGTATTTTAAGCTGTCCGATCACCACACCAAGGGCGAGGACGCTGCTGGTGCGGTCGGGTCCGTTAAGGATCAACTTCTCAAGGCTGAAACCATGGACGAGGTTCGCACGATCATCCTCGACGGCCTCTCCGGCAGGATCCGTGGGGCGTTGCAGCTTACTGCGGCCGATGAGCCGAATCTGACCGTGCCTCTGATCGATCAGGGCGTGGATTCCCTCAGTGCCTTTACGGTCGGCTCATGGTTCACGAAGAACCTGAATATCGACATTCCCCTGCTGAAGATCCTTGGTGGTGCCTCGGTACCCGATCTGATAGACGAGGCTGTCTCCCGCTTGACACCTGAAGCTATTCCCCTGGCTCATTCGCCATGGTCGGAAATTGCAGCGCACTCAGCCACTGCGGCGTAGCGCTGCGGGTCGAGGATTGACGGTTGGATTAGGGGACTAAGTCGAGGGCTTCAGGGATCTGCGGTTTAGGGTATAGTACTGCGTATCCGTCTGTCGATACTATTTCAAGGACGTCTGGTACACGATTCTGAGTGTCAGGCGCGTATGAATTGAGTTAGAAGCTAGAGTAGTTTTGTCTACATCGCTTTTTACAAACCATCAAATTTACTACCACAAAGGTGGGATCATTGACGAAGTTATAGGTGACAATGTAGTCGAGACTTGGGATAGATATATACCCGGGGTACGAAGCCGCGTACCACTTGTGATCAAAGCACTGCAATGCCCCCAGCTGCAATTGGTGCACCCGTGCATTGGTACATATTACAAGTCCTACCTTTCCAGTGCAGTTTAGTCTAATCAAGGAAGTATTATTTGAACTAGATTCAATTTGGTGATAGCCACTCTAGTAGGGGCCTAGGGCTTACACACTATACCTTCTCATGTAACTTTTATTATATCCAGTTGGAAAACTTACCACTTTGGGCTGTGTACAGCTTATACAGGTAATGATTACTCCTGGCACACTACAAGATAGCTGGCGCACATTGTTATGTTTGTTACAAGGTTCCCTGGGAATACGCAGGTTAAAACACGTATCCTCCTTTAGGGTGGTTGGGGCGCAGGGGAGTTGATACTAATTATAGTAACTGACGAGCTTGTCATTGTTGTCAATAATATTTGATCTCCAATTCTAGACCTCGCTGAAACTGCATGTCCGGCGTCCTCTCGCCATCAATATTACAACGTCTGCCGGTGTCAGATTAAAACAAATCTTTGAGTGTTTCTTTTTTTTTTGCATATATGGTCGACTCTCACTCATAGCAGCCTTGAACCCTGAACCCTGAAGTCATTTAGTGGTCCCGCTGGCCATACAGGAAAAGGCGCCACCCGTCTTGTCCCCACCAGTCAAATCTCTCCGCTGTCTTTAATTACACCCGGAAAACGCCGTAGAACGCTTTGAAACACCGAAGAAAACACCGAACTAAACGCCGGTCATCCCCAAAACACGTGCGGGCCGCTAGTCTGACGCTGGCCGCACCAGCAAACTGTCAACAAGCTGACTGCTTACTCTCGAATCTTTCCTCAATCTACCCTCATCAGTCCAGGGACATCTATTCCTTTTCCATCCCTACTTCTTCGTGTCATCAGCACCGCAATGGCTGTGACTTCCGCTGCTCAGAGTAAGGCTGAGGGCCTGGGCCTTTATGCACGGTTCGCCTTTGCCGGTGCCGTCTGCTGCTCGGTGACTCACGGTGCCTTCACTCCCGTTGATGTGTAAGTTGTTGATCGCGTTCACCTCCAGTTCAGTATCGACCACCCTTGACCTACTAACATGCTTAAAGTGTCAAGACCAGGATCCAGCTCGACCCCGCGACCTACAACCGTGGTATGATTGGTGGTTTCCGGCAGGTGATCCAGAATGAGGGCGCGGGTGCGCTCTTGACCGGGTTCGGCCCAACATTTGCCGGATACTTCATGCAGGGCGCCTTCAAGTTCGGTGGTTACGAGTTCTTCAAGCAACAATCCATTAACACCATCGGTCTGGAAAAGGCCCGTCAGAACCGGATCGCGGTTTATTCGGTCTCCGCCGCCTGTGCGGAGTTCTTTGCCTCGATCGCCCTCTGCCCGCTGGAGGCTACACGTATTCGTCTCGTCTCGGAGGCGGGCTTCGCCAGTGGTCTGGTCAGCGGGTTTGGCAAGATTCTCAAGAACGAGGGCATTGGTGCTTTCTACCGTGGTTTTGGTCCGATTCTTCTGAAACAGTACGTTGGGTCACCGAGAGACTTGAAACCGAGGGATGAGCTGACGTGAGATAGGGTGCCCTACACCGTGACGAAATTCGTGGCGTTCGAGAAGGTTTCCGAGGCTGTGTTCGCTCGCCTGGACAAGTCCAAGCTGTCGAGTGGCGCCCAGACCGGTGTGAACTTGGGATCGGGCCTCATGGCCGGTTTCGCGGCGGCCATTATCTCTCAGCCCGCTGACACCATGCTGTCGAAGATCAACAAGACCAAGGGTCTCCCCGGGGAGAGCACCATCTCCCGTCTCGTCAAGATTGCGGGCGAGCTTGGCATTCGTGGTTCCTTCGCTGGCCTGCCCACTCGTCTGTTCATGATCGGTGGTCTGACTGCTGGGCAATTTGCCATCTACGGTGACATTAAGAAGGCTCTTGGTAAGTCTGATTACGTTCCTGGTTGATCACTAAAGCTCACTTTGTACCCTCAGGTGCCACGAATGGGGTGGAGATCGCCAAGTAAATACCTATTGTAACTATGTTTAGCATGTTCTAGACGGGAGGGTCAATGGTTTTCGGATAGAGATAGATGTAACCAGACCTATGTATTCACCGCACTATCCTTTTCCGTCCCCAGAATAGATCATGTGTTATAGCTTTGGCGATTATAGACAGACAAGCGCATTGAGGGGTATAACTAGAGACCGGGGAATTCTGTTGCAGCACAGTATACTATACTCGACCACAATCACGACGAGGAAACCTCTACTGTAAGCCCCCGCCCGCAGTGCGCGCGATTCCGCCACCTATTCCGACTCAGGGACATGGACCGGGCGCGTCCATGGTTCTTCGACTCCACAGCCCCGCAGCAGTCCCGCGTCAAGCTCCTGGGGATCAGCGCGGGCATCGTAGACGAAACAATGGGCTTTTAGAGGACATTTGCTCCTTTATCCGGGGCCGATCTGGAGACTTTCGGTAAGATGATGAGGTGGTTACTTCTAGGCTGAGGGTTGTGGTCCGAGAGATATATAGAGGGTTGAGGTTGGGGAGGCAGGCATCAGTCTGCTTCTGGAGTCATAGAACATGTCAAACGGATGATGTTAGCATCCTTTCAAATGTGATGCCTATGTGAGTCTACTGCCCTGTTGTGAAGTTCAAGGGAGAATACAATGGTCGATCCTGTTTAACAGGCGGAGCGATTCCGCTGCATTCTTGGACGGTGGATAGTTGCAACTTGAGGGATAAGGCGATTCAGGGTCGCCCCGCCAATTTCAAGGGATTCGGCCGGGAATAGCCGTGTTGCTCCACCCGCTCCGCACAGAATCATGTTCATACTCAATCAATGGTGGATTGTGGAGGAGAATGATTCTTCCTTAGGTATGGAGCAGGGCTGAAGCCACCGCTGCTGAGGCTCACCGTGTGGTACCAAAGAGAACTTGGTGTTCGGATTTGACAGGACGCGTCGATCATGAACGAGGAAAAGATCAACACATCGAGAGCTTGGAGGCCTGGCCCAATGACGGGTGAATAGGGACCAGGATCAAGAGTCCGAGCCTGCCAGCCTGGCAAGTGAATGAACATAAATTTGATCCAATCATCATTGCTCCTTCAGCCTGAATGTCAGGCGCCAGCACGCCGTTCTGAGGCGCTTTGAATCTACCAACAAGGACTTGAACCAGCACACCACTTCAAAATTATTACAGAGAACTGGCAGCGAACACCAGCACCCAAGATCATACCGATCCGCTTGAATTAACTCTTGATCCCTTTGTCATCGTTCTGCTTGATATTCCTCCAACTCCCGGTGCACGGGGTATCTAGAAAGCCAACTGGCTAACGGAAGGAAACACACCACCGAACTAATGGCGGCGCAGCAAAAGCGCTGTCTGGATGCAAAGGACTTCCGCGAATGGACGTGCCACGACTGTTTCTTAGTCTACAATCTGGTCCCCGCTGATCTTCTCTCTTTTAACAACAGGGCTTGCAGCGCTCGACAAGGAACTGGGCGCCAACGATTTCATAGTAGCATTCGCTCCAATCCGTATCATCGCCGCCGGCGGCTTTCTTGCGGTCTCGTATCTGCGGAATCGTGAAAGCACGGGGGACATCGATTTTCTGATGGAGCCCGAATTCGCCGAGGACAAGGACATTCAGCTTCCCTTGCAGGAAGCCATCCGCGCCGTAGCAGTTCGGCACTCGTTCAACCTTGAGTGGATCAATGAGGATATGGCTGTCTTTGTGACCAGGAACACTCGCCAGGCCTTGTTCGCACAGGCCAAGAAGCAAAACATTACGCTGTTCAAAGGGGAGAATCTCGAGGTTTTGGCTGCTCCTCTGGAGTGGGCTCTGGAGCGCAAACTACGGCGCATCCAGTCCGGGCGCCGCGAACACAAGGGGGATTTCGATATGCTCGACGCACTTGCGCTGTTGAGAGAGCTGAGGGTACGCAACAGGGGTCCGCTAGACGAAGAATCGATCCGTACGATGAACATGAACGGCTTCGATGTCCTCCCGACCCATGAGACCATGCAACGGATAGGGAGAGAATATCGGGCAAAAGAATTTCTGCCAGCTTCTCGGCTAAGCCTCTTTGAGAATGCGGGGATGCTGCGGGGAGGATGTCTTCAAGTAGAGCCCGGCTTTACAGGATTCTATGACCAAAGTAGAGGTGCGGAGTTGGCATCGCAACCATTCTTCTCACCGGTTCATTCTCATATGTCGTCCTCCCGGTCGCGGTAGATGCCTTCACCATTCCTTCGCAGGCCCAGACTAAGCCGCCAATTCACTGCCCGGTGTAACTCTTCGACAATGCAAGCGACCACGGCATAACGAAGCGGGTCGGGATCTTGGGGATCTGGGATGTTGCGTAGCTTCCAGTCGGGGCGCTTGAAGAAGTACTCCGTCTCATATCCCATCAAATCGTATTGACCGGCCAGGAAGAGGGCGTAGAGGCGGTAGATGGACCGTAGCGGGGTGTCGCGCACGCGCCAGATGGGGATTGCTCTAAGGTTGTGGAGATCCCCGAAGATGGACTAAATTATCCCAGTCCCGCGCCTTTCATCCTCGATGAGGGCTCGACAGGAGTATGGACCTGGAATCTTGAAGTACCATGATGGAAACGGAATGAACATGCGTAGGAGTGTTATCAAGGGATGTTTGTGGTTCTGCCTCAGCCGCTGCAAACTAGCGCGTAATTCAAGCGGGGACCTCGCATAACGGAGCCATATCCGAAAGCGCCTCCACAGCGAAATCTTGGGTTTGGGGCGACGAGGTGGTGGCATTGGGTGATTACGGTTCCACAATGATTGGGGGAGGTTGTGGGGCGGAGAAGACAGGCGGATTGAATATGTTGGTGGTGGTGGTGGTGGTGGTGGTTGTATGTTTGCTTTGTTTGCTGTGTTTACCATGTTTACCAACGTTTGCCATGTTTAGACTGTTTATGCTATTTGCATGTGTCGCCTCCATCGCTTCGGCCCGCGAGGGAAGCATCATTTCCTATTTCATCGTCCACACCACGGTACCTAGTACATACTGAAGACGCCTCTGGACGCCTTCAGGCGTATTGCTAAAAGAATGTCCTTGCTTCGCTTGCCAAATGACGTGCTTTTTATGATTGCCGACCTGCTGAATGCCAGAGAAGTGGTCCTGCTCCTGCAAAGTGATCCCGTCTACCAATTCCTCAACGGCTATCTACTCGCCAGATACCTCAGAACACGGGCCAGTGATGCCCATGCCCTCAATAATGCGGCCGCGCATGACGCAGACGAGGTCGTGCAACGGCTTCTGGACTCCGGCGTCGATGTGAGTTGGAAAACCACGTACTGGTCCTGCAGCAGCCCGGATCCCGATGCGCCATTTTGTCGGCGGATCACACTGGAGGCGCGGCAGACGTTTAAGCTGCATCCCCTCCTCTTTGCGGCGGGCAACGGCCGGACTGGCATTGTGGCGAAGCTCTTAGATCACGGCGCAGACATCAACGCCAAAGATCCCGGAGGTAATAGCCCTCTCATGCTCGCCGCCTACTACGGTCACCTCGAGACCGTTCGCACGCTGGTCGAGCGAGGGGCCAATCTGCTGGCCGTCAATTCCGAGGGGGCCCGCGCGATGGGCCGCTCCGCACACCGACGCCTCGACGAGATCAGCGACTTCTTGGACGCCGCTCTTCAGCGCAAGTACCCGACAATGCATCGGGTCCGTCAGAAGGAACTGCACCAACTGCTGTGGTACGCAGCTCGGGACAATGACTTTGATCGTGTGCGGGATCTCCTGGCACGGGGGGCTGAGATCGACTATCAGCTGCCTCTACATGACACCACCGCCCTGACAGTTGCGATCGCCTGCGCGTCTCCGGAAATGGCGGAGCTCCTGCTGGAACACGGCGCGAGTCCGAATGTTTCGCTGTCTCCCAGGCCGGGACCCCCTCGACCTACCGATCCGACCCTCACCCTGGGCCCATTGGGCTGTGCCCTTGAGCGCGAGCAAAGTTACCGGTTCATTGAGCTACTCATGAAGCACGGACTGACGTTGGCGATGGATGTTGCCCACCTGGAGAGAGCGTTGACTCTGGGGAAGCTCAATGAGTTTCGCTTGCTCGTCGACACGGGTGCGGACATTGTTACCGATCCGCGGATTGTCAGGCGCCTATATCACCTCGCAGTCCGTTTGCAGCACGGGGATATTATCAATATGCTGTATTGTATGAGTGCCGATTTACTGGAAATTGACCTCTCGCTTCATCCACGTCCTGCCTTGACAACAATCGACAGGCGTTACCCGGAATCCTCTACATGATCGGTCTGGTTCAGGTCGGCTTTCTGGACAACGTTCTCATGCGTGGGCGGCTTTCACTCTAGCGAACCAGTGCAGTACCGGAGCCAAGGCATAGACCCTCCACGACCCAGCTACCGGCTTGATCACACCTTAGGAATGTGCGGCCACTCCGGCATGCGCACAATACTGCTTAGAAAGCCTGTTTCTCATAGCACTTACCCCCAGGAATGTGTCGCAGGAAGGAGACTCCCATTGTATGCTATTGATCCGACGAAAGTGAAAGTGGCCAAAGGAGGTCCGTGATCACGTGATTGCCATGGGCCTCGAGATCATGGAGTACCCGTGGACAGGACCACCGTATGAGCGCTTGATCATCCTCAACATTCTACGAGCTTGGTCAGACAGGACCTTTAGTTCCAATCGGCACTTTCTTGTGATTAGGGACTCCGTGGCCGGACTTCAGGAGACAACAAGATACACGCATCCGCCAGCCTGGCGCAGGTCATGCGATCGATGCTGGACATAGCAACGATCAACGCTGACACGATCGAGAGGAACTCGCAACTCCAACCTCGTCATGTATGAGCGAAATAGATGCTAGAATAGTGTTGTCCGAACAGCCAGCCAGTGCCATGAACCATTGCTTCTTCATGCATGCCAAGACTACCCAGTTCGCGAAGTCAATGACGTGTTGGATATTCTGACTCAATCTGCCACTACTGAGATCACGGAAAACATGATGATCATGAGGAGGAATATCAAGGTGAGAATCTTTGGTATTACATCAGGGTCCACATTCATGAAAGACAATTCCTTTGGGCACACTGCCGTACTCCTGTACCGTGATTGGCATAGGTTTTCTGCAGCGATAAACCCCTCTCATCCTCCCGCCTATTTTTGCCTGCCAATCGACCCAATAAGCGTACTGCGGACAGCAATAATAACGCCACGAGGGCTTATCAACCAACCACTCAGGAGCACCATCTCACCTGCATGCAGACATCGATATCGCAACCCTGCACTAAATGTCAATAGTCGGTTTTTGCTTCTTTCCTCGTGCAGATCAGGTGACTTCATCACCGGGTGTTTTAGCGGGGGCATTCCTCGCCAGGTTTTGCTGTCTTACACACTCGCTGAATGGTTTGTGCTGCCTTGTATAACCCTGGCCTGAGCCAGATTTTGCCCAGCAGTTCGGCATCTTGTGGACAAGGGATCAAGACACGGTTAAATTAAAATCATCTTCACCCTCAAGGATTCAAAGGCTTCGTGCATCACAGAAGCACGGTTAAATTAGCGAGGGCATTGCTCGCCAGGTTTTGGTTCCTGTGAAACAAGTGATCAAAACGCATTTAAACCAGCCCGTCCGCATGCGCATCAATCCAGACGCTTCGTGCATAACTGGAATACAAAACCATGGCTCGACTAGTTCGTCAGGCAGCGTGCTGCCTAGCGGCTCTACAATCTTTGGCATGGGCCTTGTCTTTCGTTGAGACAAACCAACCCCGGTTATCATGTCGCACAAGCCTCAACACAGTGCAAGTGCAGGCTGAACTTGGTCCGCTGCTGCTGTGTTCCACGTCCAGCGTGTTTGGGCCCGACAGCCCCCTGTGGCCGAACGCGACGTCGCGCTACCAGGCGTACGATTCCCCGCAGATCAAGGTCGTCGTGCAGGTAGGATGCGAGGAGGATGTTGCCACCGTCGTACGTCTTGACACCTTTCCTCACGCTGTCAGTTTGCTTAGCAAGCGTGCAAGACCAGACGCACAGCTAACCCGGATATCAGGCTCGATATGCCAACGCTATCAGCCTGCCTTTCTACACGGTCAACCGAGGTCACGGCATGACAAGTACCCAGGGCCAGTTCCACGGAGTGGAGATTGACATGCAACTGCTGACCGGGATCGAAATCAATGCCAATGGCGAATCCGCTCGTTTCCAAGGCGGCACGTTCACCCAGGAGGTGATGGACGTGTTGTGGGAACAGGGCTATGTAGCACGTCAGTCCTCCCCCCCCCCCCCCTATCCTTCTTTCCATCAGACCAATCAACGCCTGACAATCTCCAGCCACCGGAAGCTGCGGCTGCGTCGGAATGGTCGGACTCGGTCTGGGTGGAGGCCACGGCCGTATGCAGGGACGCTACGGGCTGGTCAGCGACAACTACCTCAGCCTGAACGTGGTCCTGGCGAACGGGACAGCGATCACTGTTTCGGAAACCTCGCACCCCGACCTCTTCTGGGGGATGAAAGGGGCCGGGCACAATTTCGGCGTGGTCACCAGCTTCGAACTCCGCATCTTCCCCCGTCAGGAGGAGACCTGGTACTACCGTACCTATGTCTTTTCGCAGACGCAGCTCGAGCCGCTGTTCGAAGAAATCAATCGTCTGCAGGGGAACGGCACGCAGCCGGTCGACATGGCGTGGCAATTTGGATTATATCAACTGAACCGCACGTTCAGCGAGACGGAGGTAAACCGACCCCATATCCCTCACTACTGTAGTTGGAAAGGTCTTTCTTAACCCCCGTGGACAGGCAATCATCTCTTGGTCCTTCGCGTACTCGGGCCCCGAAGCCGCGGCGCAGCCGTACCTGGCCCCCTTCGACGCGCTGCACCCGCTCAGCGTCGAAGACGGCAACGTCCCCGTCAACGAGATCTCGAACGTGCAGCGAACCGGGTCGAACGATCCGATCTGCGCGCACGGCTACGAGAGGATCATCGCGACCGCGGGGCTGCAGGTGTACAACGTGACGACGCAGCGGGCGATCTACGAGGTCTTCAACGAGATTCTCCGCTCCCACCCCGCGTTCAATACCTCCGTCGTGCTCATGGAGGGCTACTCCCTCCAGGGCGTGTTGGCCGTCGACCCGGCCTCGTCGGCGTATCCCCTCCGCGACGATTATCTGCTCATGTATGTTCCTCCCTTCCCTTCTATGGCTGAAGAGTGTGTGGGCTGTGCTTTGTGGGGCATGATGGCTGATATGGATCGCTCCGCAGGTGGGCCTCTGTCAGCTACCTACCCGACGAGTCGTTGGATGATACCGCGCTCGAGTGGGCGGGTTTGATCCGCGACCTGTGGAACGAAGGTCAGCCGACCCGGCGGCCAACGACGTATGTCAACTACGCCTTGGGGATAGAGTCGCTGGAGTCGATGTATGGGTATGAAAGCTGGCGGTTGGAGAGGCTGCGCGCGTTGAAGCGGGAGTATGATCCGGAGAATCGGTTCGCGTACTTCAATCCTATTCCTGTTTAGAGGGTCTACATCGTATCTGGTGTGGCTGTACAATCGTGTTGACATGGAAGTATGCATATATCTCCAGGTCCCGGGCTTCACGGCATGACACCTTGGCTTGGGAGTTTTGGCAAGACTGATTGGGGGTTTTTCTGTTATGTCTGGCTTCGCGCCGACTCGCAGATTGGAGAAGGTCCGGCCTTATCTGGGCTGGGCGATATAATATGTTGTCATAGAAAACTATTTTCTATCCATCCTACTCGTTAGCTGACGAGTAGATCGGGCCAGGGCCGATTGTGCTGCTGTCAACTGGCATTGCGGTAATATGTATTCCTGCGCTTCCTTGGTCTGCGCTGACTCAGATTCCACAGGCAGGCAAGCAACGAGAAGCAAAATCGACCAAAAAAAAAAAGATATGATGATGATCAATGGAGAAGCAAAGAAATTAAAAACATGAGATGAAGAGCAGGAGAAGAGATAGATGCAAGCAGACAACAACTGCAGCACCCAACTCCCAAACCAAGGAAATCGTGGGCCGACAGACCGGAGATACCGTTCCCGGCATCGGCTCCGCGCACCACAAATTCCATCCGACGGGACTGTCAAAGCCCTAAAGAAGCAGCACTACGTCAACACCTCTCCTCCGTTGTCTTATTGGCCGCTTACCAAGGCACTGTGAACGCGTGGTGATAAGAGAAAAACAAAAGATGAGGGGTGGCTGGGCTCAGAACGCGACGATTCTTCTCCAGGTGGAGCCCTCGCCAGCATCGGATGGGCCAGACTCGGCAAAAGCTCATGTCGATCCTCGATCGGATCTCCCCCCACAGGCCCGTCGCGAACGAGATCAGCAGCCGAGCTGAGCTGACCTGCGGCAGACCCGCTCCCATGGATCTTCAGCTGAACAGGAAAACGAGGAAACCAAACCTGTTGTGTGCTGCCTGTGGGGGGTGACTTGGTTGGGTGCGGCGGGGTATAAAATGTGCCGACTGTTCGGGGCGTGGTATGGCCTTGTGCCTACCTTTGCATGCATATTTTAACAACAGGCAATTTTACATATAACAACAAAACCAAAACGGACAAGATGGCGCGAGACGAGGAACTCCTCTCTCTGTCCAGCTTCGGCGAGGACCTCATCGCGAGCGGGACCTTCTCCTCTCTGGACTCCCTCGACATCTTCTCTGCCGGCACACTCACCAACCCAAAGCGCAAGCACCTAGCAGTCACCCCCGATGTAACCCCTGCCCCAACTCCGAAGTTTCCCCCGCTGGCGGGCTGGGCTACCATGTCTCGATCACTATCAGCGGCATCCCCGGAGGTCCCGATTGCCCCCGCTAACGAGCTGATCATCGGCGGTGCAGTCGTGAACAACGTCGCGCTTGTGGTGGGGGAGTCGATCTCAAGCGATCCCGCGCCCGAGCACAAGGACCAGGATCTGTATAGTGATGTCAAGGTCCTGCCGGTGCCGGTGTCTGGGGTCCACCGAGGCGGCGGATCGCTCCTGGTCGCCTCGATCGGCAAAACAGCCGCGCCGCCCATGCTGCTGCTGCCAGCGGAGAATGATGCGGAAATTGCCTTCCCGGAGGCAGCGAAGCCGGTCGCGCTCCCGGATGTCAAGAAAGAGATCACGGCGGCGAAGGGGAAGGTTGGGGCCGCCGCGGTTGATTCATATGTTCTCAGTGGCGACATCAAGAACTTCTTCGGCATTAAGGGGCTGAAGGCCAAGCTGTATTCCTTCAGAAGTGAGGAGAGTCAAAAGAAAGAGGACAAGAAGAAGACACAACAGGGTGAGAAAGACGGCGACGAGAAGGAGGGAGAGGAGCCCAAACCGGACAAGAAGCCTGCGGTCGGATTGGAGGATCCCAAATCAAACCCCAAGAAAGACAAATCGGAAGATTCCGAGACCAAAGGCAAGAAGGACGGACAGGCAAAAGAAAAGGACGACAAGAAAGATGAGCCGATCCAAGAAAAGGTCAAGCTGAAGGATATGGATTCTCCGCTGGGCATCCTCTTCCCCGAAATCGAGCAGTCGACTATCCAGAAACTCCCGCTCAAGAACCTGGAGTTTACCTACAGCAACAAGGAGAAGGACAGTCTTTTCCCGGTTGGACTGCGACTCGAGGGTGATTTGGAGTTTAAGGATGGATTGCAGTTTGTCTCGGATGGGCTCAAGAATGTCTTTGGTGCCGACAAGGGGACAACCCTGCCGTCCAAGTTACGGGTCAGCGCGTTGATTGCCAAGGAGCGAGACTGGAGCAAGAAGCCGAAGATTGAGGGCTTGGTCCTGCAGGCGTATGCGGACATGACGTTGCCGAAGTGGGATTTCCTCGAGTTCAAGACGGTAGGCATTGAGTTGTCGGCGAGGAAGGAGGAGAAGAAAAAGGATGACGAGAAGGAGGGTGAGAAGGGTGAGAAGGGCGATAAGAGCGAGCAGAGCAAGCAGAGCAAGCAGAGCAAGCAGAAAAAGGCCGACAAGGATAAGGATCAAAAGGGCAAGGTGAAGGATGCCCAGCCTGAAGAAGGTCTCGAGTCTGCATCCCTGGAAGCGGTAGCCAAGGTGAATGTGCTCGAAGATGAATCCAGCCCTGAAGATCCTGTCGAAGTTCCCAAGTCAAAGGAAACTGAGCCCAAGGCGCCGGACGGAAAGGTACGCAAGCCGTGTCTTTACCTGCAACTCACCCGAGCTTGCTAATGTTGGACACAGGACAAATCATCCAAGGACAAAGGTAATGACAACAAGAAAGACAAAGAATGGAAACTGGGATTCGGACTATTCGGCAAACTGAACATCACCAAACTGCCCAAGTCGAAGGGAACCCTGGAAGCGAGATACTGGATCCGAGGAGGGGACTGGAAGGACACAGGGGAGGAGAAGAAAGACAAGAAGGATAAGAAGAAGGATGGTAAGAAGGACGATAAGAAGGATGATACGAGAGACGACAAGCAAGATGGTAATGATACAGACAAGAAGACTGACCAGGCAGGGAATGAAAAAGAGGAGAAGAAAGATGATAAAGCTGTCGGAGGTAAGACAAAAGCAGACAAAGCAGACACTCATCCAAGAGCCAAGAAGGACGAGAAGGCCGCGAAGAGCAAGAACGAAAAAGACGAGCAGGGTGGTGGAAGCAAACATGAATGTGAGCTCACCTCGCTCAGGTTGGGTCGAGGATAAAACTTACGTGGTCTGCAGTGCTCATCAATGTCGGCAAGTGGGATAACTTCTGCGGTGTCGCAAACCTGAGTGTAAGGATCTCCGCCGATTCTCAGAACACCACTCGCCCATGCTAACGTCATCACCCATAAACAGATGAAGAAAGCGGAATTGCGCGCCTTCTTCGAACCAGGAGAGTTCAAAAAGACTTGCACGCTGACTGTAGCTGGCTCTCTTGAGTTCCCCCAGGGTAGCCTCGATAAGGAGGAGAAGAAAGACAAAAAGAAGGATCACGATAGAGAGGAGCCGAATGGCAGCACAGAAACGGCAGAGAAGGACACCGAGGAGAAGGCCAACGTCACCTTGAAAACAGAACCCAAGCCGCCAGCCGCAGCTAAAGGCCAGGCCAAAGGAAAGGAGTCAAAGGCCGAAGAGAAGGGGAAGGATGGCGACAAGAAGGATGACGAAGAAAAGGAGCCAAAGAATGCTAACTTGGAGATCAAAGGCCAATTGTCCAGAAGTAAGTCCATCTATGATCCTTGCTACAGCAGAGCTCTACTCATCCCCACACAGAAGATTATCATTTCGACGCCAAGGTGGGAAACTTGAAGCTGGAGTCTATCTTGAAGATCTACGCCCATATCCATGGAGTTGAACCAAAGACTGAGGGCATCAAGGACCACAATTTAACCTTCGAAGAGCTGCACCTCAATATTGGTAGGAAGCTGAAAAAGAAGGCGGGTGAGAAGAAAGCAGACAAGAAGAAGGGAGATGAGAAGAAGGAGGACGAGAAAAAGGGGGATGAGGAGAAGGACGATGAGAAGGAGAACAAGGGGCTCAAAGACAGCGAGAAACCCCTGACTGAAGAGAAGAGGTCTGCAGAGGAAACTGTTGCGGACAAATCCAGCCTAAAACCTGAGGCCAAGGAAAGGAAAGAAGAGGAAGCTGCAGTGACTGACGCGAAAGAAGCAACCAAGGGTGACCAAAAAAGTGTGACTAAGAAGGAAAATGAGGAAGAAGAGACGGAATGGTCCTTTGAACTATCCGGCAAAGTGAGCTTTAACGACGTAAAAAGTGTGCACGGCCTGATCAAGTACGACAGCACTGGCTTGACCATCGAAGGCGGGGTGGAGGATTACAAAGTGAAGGACGCTGATATTACCATCAAGGAGGCCCGGATTGATATCTTCATCGGGGCAAAGCCCAAAACCGAGAAAAAAGCTAAAGGAACACGGCAAAAAGGGCCTCTCGAATGAGTCTGACGCCGCTGGTGGCGAGTCAGCCGTTGCGAAATCATCCAAACAAGACAACTCGGGGACAAAGGACCTTGTCAAGAAGGATACCGGCAAAGACAAGGAGGTCCTTCTCAACCGGGCCAGCACGTTCTCCATCAGAGGCAAGGTCACCTTCAGTGGAGTGACTGTGACGGCGGCCTTCCTCACCGAGCGTAAAGAGACAAACAAAAAGTCGAAGCAGGCTTCCGAACGCGAGTGGATGATTTATGGTCTGGCTGATACGGACCTCTGCCTGGCAGAGCTTTGTGACACGCTTCAAGGTACCCCCCTTGAAAACCTCAAATTGCGGAACGTCGCCGTGATCGCGGCATCTGGCGAGATCAAGTCGGTGAAAGAGCTGAACACCCTGAAGTATCCGGTCCGGAAAGGTAGGTCGGCGATCGCTATTCACGTTGTAATCCCTTCCCTGATGACACAGAAGCCCTAACTTGCGCATAGGAATCTCATTATGCGCGACTATACCACCCCTCGATGAGCTCAACACCCTTGCCAAGGAGAAGGTGGATGGATTAGTTCTATGTGCCACCATTCAGCAGAAATTGGAGCTCAAGATCTGCTTGCCTTCGTCAATGGATGTGAGTTGCTCTCCTCCGCTGGTTATCATAACACCCTAACGCATGTCGGTCGTCAGATCCATTTTTCCCCAACCGTAACACTGGGCGATATTGCAGTCGGCATTGAGATCAGCAAGAACCCTAGCCTGTCGCTCGAGGGCGTTTTGACTATCCTGATGGAGTCGGGTCAGGATCCATTAGTCCTCGAGGGAATGGTCCGAGCAGGGGTACTGGAGGCCTCCGCTTCTGTGTAAGCTAACTGGACTGAGGGTATATGAACAATACTGACAATCTCTGCAGTGCGACTAAACAGCCCTGGGTGAACCCGTTCAACGTCAGCAAGGAGGTCACAATCGCAGACTTCCGGGTCGAGATACTAATCGAATATGCCAAGTTCCTGGAAGTCGGTCCCTCGTGAGTTTTCAATGCGTTCTTTCTCAACAAAATTTCTTGCCCGGGCATGCTGATACCCGAAACCAGGAAAATTGGCCTCGGAGGGCAGCTCGAAGTTGGAGATTTTGAGGCCGGGGCAGCAATGGTGGTGAGCCACTTCCCCGACGACCAGCTCATCTCTGTCAACATCTCCGAAGTCGACCTCATCAAAATCGTGCAAGTCGCCGGCAAGGTGGCCGAGATACCGCAATTGGAAATGATGACGGGAGCAGAGGAAACATTCGTGTTCACAGACGCCAAGTTGTACGTCTCGACGGGGGCGACCATCGCCGACAAGAAGTACCCGCGAGGCATCTCCGGCGGCGGCAAGCTGACGGCATTTGGCAAGACGGCCGAGTTCGAGCTGAGCATCGGTGCTGCGGGACTGGACTTCAAGGGCGCGATTGACAATTTCAGCTTAGGCCCGCTCGTGGTCTCGTCGGCCAGTGGCGAGCCCCGGGCGAGCATGGTGGTACTCATGACCAAAGAACAGCAGATTGTTAAAATAGATGGCATGGTGACCTGCTTTGGAGTCGGGCTGGTTACCCTCGTGGACATCCAGCTGGGAACGGAGACTCCTTCGTTCAACGCCTACATTGCTGTGCAGTTTACCAAAGCGTTCACGATCAGCCTGCAGGCCACGACCACGGACTTTAGCAGTGTGCGTGACCTAGCCAATCGGGGCCTCGACTTCCAGGCTGAGATCCGTGGCGATCTGTTTGACATGATCTGCGAGAGCATCAAAAACATGATCAAAACGATCGAGAAACTGGGCACTGATGGCATTGAGTCCGTGCAGAACCTCATCGGGGCCAAGGTTGCTGAGAAGCAGGCCGAGATGGATCAGCTGGCGAAGGAGCTGGAGGATGCACGGGTGAGACTTGAGGCAAACCGTACCCAGCGTCAAGTGGAGATCAACAAGGAGGAGACGAAGCGGAAACAGGCACAAGATGAGATCGCGCGATTGAGACAGAATTTGGCCACTGCTAAGAAGAACAAATCCAAGGTCGAAGCAGAGCTGAAGCAAAAGGTGCAGCGGGCGGAACTCGACAAAGAGGCTCTCATTCAGCGGAAGAGAAAGGAGTACAGCGACAAACTGGAAGCGGCCAAGGCAGAAGAGGCTCGAAATCGCAAAGAGCTGGAGAGGCTGAAGAGGGAACAAGCGAACCGATATGGAACGGACTTCCTGAAACGGGCAGAGCTGGCTAAGGGCGCCTGGTATGAGAAGATGGCCGTCGAGAAGGCCTCCTGGGCGGACGTCCAAAAAGCCTATTGGGCGAAATGCAATGCGAAGTGGTATGAAGACCTTTGACACTGACTTTCACTGACTTTGAGGATATCAGACGCTAACTCTAGTAGGTATAATTTTGTCCCCTTGGTAAGATTGCATACAAGAAAGGAGGGCTTGGGACGGTCATACGGAGACAGCTAATCATGTTTACAATAGGCCGCGGCACTGGAGGCAGAGAAGGGACGCCACGAGATTGTCAAGGCAGCTACCGCCGTCTACCATGAAACAGCCAAGGGATTTGATGCCACAATCAACTCTGATGCCTTTCAGGGGCTCGTCACCGGAATAGAGAAAGCGGCTGAGGCAGCTGAGAACGCTGCGAAAGGTATCGATAACATTATCAAAGGCGGCGGATTCGACGGTTTCGTGAGGGCCTTTGTAGAGACCGAAGACAGAAAACTCCAGGCAGCGATCAACAATCTCCATGCGATGCAAAGTGAGAACAGCAAGTATCAGAAGGCGATTCGGGATGCACAAGCCATCCTCGACAAGAATGGACCCAACCTGGAAGCCGAGATTCGAGCTGCGGATGAGGCAATCACCCGCATCCAAGAAGACGCAGAGCTCGCGAAGCTCGAACGAGAGTATGATTATCGGCTCAAGGTCCATGAAGAGGTCCACAATGCCATCAAGCAGATGGACGCGGGGCTGGAAGCCCTCAAAAAGGACTGGCAAAATGGCATGCAAAAGCTCCAGGACTTTGTGAATGAGATTCAAAAAAGAATATCCTCCGTCTTCCACATCGAGAAGATTGTGGTTGGTGTCCACACTCATGCTCTGGTGAACAATAAGCCGCTCCTGTTCAAATTCCACGGTACGGTGGCTAATAGGAGGTTTGAGGTTGAGGCGGAGTGGTCGCCAAAGATAGCCATCGGTGACCTTCATAAGAAGGTAACCAACGAGATCTTGAAGATTTGCTAATCGGGTGCGTACTTCGCGAATGGCTCTCTCTGTACACGAAGGGTTGGACTATGCGGCAATTCATGGTCTTTGATTAGTCCCTTTGGAAAATATTAGGCGCGCTAGCTAGAGCTATCCTGGAATAAGCTATACAAATTGTCTTTTGCAGTGGAGCAGTGAGGTCTTAAGAGACGGATCTGGAGTTTTGGTGCGCAGATTTAATGCAGTCGACGAGATGAAACAAATAAATACTTCATGGTGACTGGTTATAAGAAAGATGAGCACATTCCCATTCCCGAACATATTTTTACCCATCCACTCCTCCACGTCTCAAAGTCTTCTTCTGTTGAAGCAGATATAACAATTATCAAGAAGGCTCATGATCTAGGGAACAACGACCAATCTTCCTTTCAAATGAGGGTCCATATATTGGTCTGGAAGATCCATGGCCTCCTCAAGCTTCACTGTTTTCACGTAAGATCGCAGCCCCTTCTCCGCGATGAACTTCATCATATCCGACAAGAGGCGCTGGTTTGCGACCAAACTTCCACGAATAACCAGCTCCTTGAATACCAGGTCGCAGGCTGAGAACTTGAAACCTTCAACGGGCAGCCCCAGCGGTACACAAACCCCGTGAGGCCGGAGAATCTTCAGGCTCCATTCCGTCGCGTCGACGCTGTCGGTGCAAACGAGCACGGCCCCCAATCCACCCCCTCCGGCAAACCCAACTACCTCCTTCGTGGCGTGAGGACTATTATAGTCCACGACTTTACCGGGATGCAGGTGATCCGGCAGTTCACTGGCCAGCTGCCGCCCTTCTAGTCGGTTGTCAATCGCAATGGTCGGATGCCCTAATCCCGCCGCAAATTGCAGGGCAAGGTAGCCTAGACCTCCGACACCGATGACCCCAATAGGGAGTTTGGGGTCTACTCCTGCATCCTTAAGGCTCGTCCAGACGGTGGCCTGACATACATAGTTAGACGGAAAATGCGAAACCTTGGACCATGTTCTCGTCAACTCACCCCAGCACACATCAACGGAGCAGCCTGTTCAAACGACACCCCTTCCGGCAAAAGCACTGAAGTGGCTGGGTCGGCCACGATGTACTCCGCGAATGCCCCATCAGCATTGACACCAGCATTCTCATTGTTCTCGCAGAAACGAGTATCGGGCTCGTCGGGCCGAAGGGGGTCGCGCGCGAGATCACAGCCTACGCACGCATGGCAAGCCCCCCGAAAGTTCAGCATGCCAATACGCTGGCCAGGTTCCCAACGGCCTGTCACATTCTTTCCGACCGCCACAATGGTACCCGCGGGCTCGTGAGACGGAGTCAAGGGCAAGGGGGACTTGTAGACCCCATTGTAGATCTGGTGGTCTGTGTGGCAGAAGCCAGCGGCTTCGACTTTGACCAGGAGCTGATCGTCGCTGATGGTTGGGATTGGGATATCTTCCAACTTGTATGGGGCTCCATACTAATGAGGCATGAGATATATTATGTCAGTGTGTTTTCAGTTTGGGTGTTTCGTTTGCGGACTGTCTGTCTGTTCGGGGAGATGAAGAGAATCTGAGCTGGCGAGGTGAGCAGACGGTGGTTGTTACCTGCACAAGCCTGAGGGCTTTCATACTGTGAGAACCCATCCTTGATGTTGCTATTCAAAACCACGGTGATTGTGTAGGATGAAGACTATTGATTGGGCTGAGCTGTAGTAATGGACGGTTAGGATACAAAGGAATGCTCACGACGAGGCGACTGACTCCTGCTATTTATGCTTAGGTCAACCTACGAGAGTTCTTCTGCGCATCAAAGGCTGATCAGAGGGGGTTCTTACCCGGGGTGTAGTAAACTCTGATTTATCGATGCTTCAGGAAGACCGTAAAACCAGAAACGTAAACTTTTGTATTGACACAATTAATCATCCTGTGAGGTTCAGCCTACAGCGGTTCAGAGATTCATGTTCGAGGCCCTAATTTCTTTCCCCATGAGATAACAATAATCCACCAATATCACTCCACATATCTTGGATTTCTTTCAATCTACTAATCACAGACAGCACTAACAGATGTTTGCTTGCTTGTGCGGATTCATTTCTAGTCTGCATTCTATGAAGAAGACTCGACATACATCTGATTAATTCTCTATGATCTGTAGTTCAACCATTCCCCAACACATCCTCATCTTCAAAACTCTAGTCTTGCTTGGCCCCTTCTATCGCAGGCTCCCATGTCTGGCGCCTGGACGTAAATACCTCCTGACTCGGACGAGATATTTCATCGAAAAGCGAGGCTTTGAGAAGTGTCTTGCCCGGGAAATCGGGGCTCTTCGTCGAGATCGGGCTACACTCGAAAGTGTTAGTGCAGGGAATAAAAAAAAGAACCAATGATGTATGGTAAGCTGGTAACCGCGAAAACTTGCCTTCCGCATTCGCTACAGAATTGGCGCTAGGAAGTTCCGAAACAGTTATCTCAGTATATCGCCGTTCGCTCGAAACTGCGACACCCCAAGAAACACTTACCAGGACTATATTCCCACTCTGGGTGTGATAATCACCGTAGCTCTTGAGCGACAGCCTTGAGTCTTTGATCGTGACATCAGAGTCACCCAAGACGTAATTTATGGATGAGCCTAGGCTTCATCGTCAACAATCACGAATTGTTAGGCGTCCCGAATCCGTGGTTCTTACCGCCGCCGGATCGCCCGCAGTTGCGACTAAATCACATGCAGATGGGTTAGAGTTGTGTTTCCCTTGGTATGACCGGTTTAGAAGGCTCATCATTACCAGTGGCATCTCAATGACTGAGACGGTTGTTGCTGCAGGGACACTTGGATTCGCCCGCACATGCAGTGTCCATCGTAGGGCATGGTTAGAACCTGGGTATGCTGCAACGAGATGGCGCGGAAGATATAGGAGTCAAAGTAGGCGAATAGTAGAAGACTTGCTATTGCCTGTTGCAGGGTCGGTATTTATCTTATGGTAGACGTTGGCCACAGCCATGGGTGGATCCTGTGTTGATGCATTGAGTAATGAAGGGGCTCACACCTTACGATTGTCCTTTCGTCGATGCAGTACTGTGCAAGTCACTTAATATCCGCCCGTCGAGGGGTACAGTATACCTACTCTATTGGTTCCTGGCTTATTCGTCGGGATGGGTTGGGGCCCTCCAAGCCTGCAACATGCATGCCCCACAGCGGCTGCGCTTCCACTTACTCTCTCTACCAGACTAAGCAGGGCCAGAGCTTTAAGGGGGGGTTATAGAGGGCCTTAGCGGGCGGTCATTGCTATATTATCTCGATTTTCAAGTGGCAGCAATCAAAATCTGTGACTGGTTCAATTGAATTAGCATAAGGTGAAGAATATAGCTGGAATGTCGATAGGTGCTGCCGTGTCACGTGACTTTGTTTCGACGCCCGCCCTCTCGCTGTTCAGACACCTGGAACATACTTTCCTCTGGATCAGGTTAGAAATAACATACTTGATATATCGCGATGAGTAGCCAAGATTGACGTTCGTGCTTCCCATGGCCAGCAGGGGCAGGCTGCTCATGGCAAAAGAAGAGCATGTTTTCCGGTCCGCATCATCCTGCTAGACCTAGCCACGCCACTTGTCAGTTTTCACGCCTTGCACTACACTACAGTGCCCTCACAACTTTTCAAGATCAATGACTATCTAATTGATTTATCTATCAAATAACAATTGGGGACGAAGAAGCAACCTCGGCTCTCAAAGAATGGATTTAGTCCAAGGCATAAACAATTTTATAGCCGGAAATCTCTCCATTGCGGTACTCCTGGAATCCTTCAGGCACCGAATCCAACCCCTGGCGCAACTTGGGATGGCTAGGCTTGAGCACACCTTTCTCCAGCCAGGAAGAAAGCTTGTGGAACAATTCAGCCGAGAGCTCATGATCGCTCTTGGAAGCCTGCATGCAATTTACGTGAGTAACCACTTGAGCCTTGACGGAGTGCGGTGCAGGATCAAGCCCCTTACCGGCCATTTGAATTCGCCATATGTGTGATCCTTGAGGAAGGAAGTCCACACCAACACATCCGTAATACGAGTCCCGGATGTCACCTTCTCGGTATTCGCTTTGCCGGGTCGCACTGTGCACAGGGATCCAGTTTCGCCCTGGAATGTACGCGAGGCCGTCGGCGACGATTCTGGATTGCCGATCGTATCAAAGGCGTAGCTGAGCGTGGGAGCTACCTCCTTGATCTTGTCGACGACCTGATCATCTTTATAGTTAAAGACGTGTCGGGCGCCGTACGAGCGCACCAGTTCCGCGTGTTTGGGGCTACAGGTGGTGATGACCTCCAATCCGTACATGGTGGCCAGCTGAATGGCGTAGAGACCAACGCTCGCTATGAAGGTTCGATTAGTAAGACGATGGGAGACTAGAGAAGAATAGACACATACAGCTGCCACCCCAGACCAGCACGCTGATACCCTTCTGCTGGTTGCGATCGATGCTCAGGCAGTCCTTGGAGAAGAGCGCTAACCAGGCGGTTGCGGCAGCCAGAGGCACGGTGCTCGCCTGCTCGCGCGAGATATTGCGCCCTGGCACTGGATACGAGATTCTCTCGTCGGCCAGGGTGTACTCACTGTAGGCGCCGAGACCCGGAGTCTCGCCTTTCATCTCCGTCAGCTCGAAGTTTCTTCCCCAGATAAGCTAAATCTTGATCGAACATACCTCCCCAAATCAAACCAGCGATGATAGTGCCCTTCGCGTACCGTCGCACGGAGCTGCCGACTTCGACTATTTCGCCGACAAAGTCACAACCCAAGACAGCGCCCTCGCCAAAAGCGTGGTTGTCCAACGATTGCACTGCTTTCCTGTTAGACACTTTTGCTTCATCACGATGCACGAGCTGTAGTGGGGCTTTGGTGAAGGAAGGGGAAAGAATATGGACAATAAGAAATTGACTCAAGAGGAATAACAAACCGTCTGTCGGGTTCTGTGCAGCATGGCTGATCTTAACCAGAACCTGCGCCTTGTCTGGCTGCGGAATGGGAATTCGTTCCTTGGAGAGGCGAAGAGGTTGGGGGCTATCCTCGTGGACTACGAGTGCCGACATGGTTGGGCTGGCAGTCATTTCGGCGATAGATTTTTCTGGGACGATTTGGTTGGGCTGATTCTTCGATCTATTGATTCTCCAACTTGTGAGATAAATTAGACAACGCTGAAGCGACGATGGATGTATGAATAGGTTGTTCATGATGTGATGTAACCATTGTAATGACGACATATATGTTATTGCGTGACAGGCAAAAACCCGATACATTCATATTGTTAGCAGACCTGTAAGAAGCCTGACTGAAACAAGACATGTCCCACACGATGACCAGCGAGTAATCAGTGGGTATGACCTGCGAAATACTATCGCATGGATAGATGGATGAAGGGATTGTGGGCGGGCGCTTGCGCTTCCACTTGCCGCTGTGATCCCGGACCACGTGACCTCCACTCTCCTGCCGCTTTCTCTTCCACTTTCCTTCTTCCCTCTCCATTACTTCATTGCACCTTCCCTTGCATCCTTCTTCTTTCCTCTCTGGTCGCAACGGGTAAGAGTAGTTCAGGAAACAAAAAGGAAGAGATCTCAGGAAGACTACTATGCAACGGCGAAGAACGCGTTCTGGCTGGTAAGTTATCATTTCTACTCTATGTAGCGCGCTGACCATGAAACCATACAGCCTCCCGTGTCGCACCCGTCGGCGAAAATGTAAGTTTGCCTAACCCCCCCCACTTTTAGAACTCTTTTCTTACCTTGTGTTTTCTTGCTGGCAAAATAGGCGATGGGGCACATCCACGTTGCCAAAATTGCACCTTCCACGGGCGTCGATGCCAGTGGGGCCTGAAAGCCTCGTTCCATCACTCACGAAATCTGACACTATCACGCACCGACGCAGCGGACCTTGCAAATCATGAGCAAGGATCCTCAACCCCGCTAAGACGTCATTTGAAGGTTTGGAACAGCCTGGTCAGCCATCTTGAACCCCGAACTTACGTAGAATCGCAGGTTATCGACGAGACGGAGACGACGATCCGAGATTATAGCTTCCTACAGGGTCCTTCCTCTCCACCCTGGAGCCCGGAGTCTTCGCATGACCGAAACCCCCCGTTGCAGTGCAGCACGGCCAACTCTCTCGAAGCGCTGCAGGGACGCATCGCTCGCCCGAAGCCGGATAACAGCGCGCTTGTCGTGGCTGGCCAAACCTGCACCAGTCCCCCTTCTCAGCCCCACACATTGAGTGGTATCGTGCACATCGCGGAGGATGAGACCCCCGCTAACAGTCTGGTGGCACGGTCCACCTTTCAGGATCTTGATCAGACCAACGGCTCATCGGAGACGCCGCCATCCCTCGGCCCCAGCTACAAGTCTTCAAGCACGGCCAACGCGCGCCACTCGGTCGCAGGCATTGAGCCCAACTCTGATACGCACACTGCGCCTTTCTCGCTCGGGAAGGCTTGTTCTGGAGACATCTCTGTCCTGCCTGAACCACCGTCTCCGGTTTCTGAGTCGGAAAAACTTAGACTAATTAGCTTCTACTTACGCGGAACAGGAACTTGGTGCGAGACCACCGACTCTGATAGACATTTCACAGTGTTCAGTATCCAGGAGATGATGAAGTCATCAGCGTTCGTCGCAGCAGCAATGTCTCTCGCCTCTCGCCACTTAGATCACCTTCAACGTAGACAGCGCTCTGTCACGCTGGAGCTATACCAGCACACCATCCGTCTGCTGCTCCGGCAAGACCCCGCCCACGCCGACTCCTCTATTCTGGCGACATGTACACTACTATGTGTCTACGAGATGATGGCGTCGGGTGTGGATGAGTGGCGACGCCATTTAAAGGTTCTTTTTGCTAGCCAGCTTCTTACAGACTCGGGAAACAAATCGCTAACCACAACTGTAGGGGTGCGCCGGCCTTCTTCAGTTGAAGAAGTGGAATGGGTGTAGCCCTGGCATTGTGAAGCCTTGCTTCTGGGCCTTTGCGCGAATAGGTAAGCTACACCGATGTGAAGCTCCGGGTCTAGTTAGTTGAAGTTAGGCTGACGTAAGACTCCTGGCATCCACCTTCTGTCACAGACGTCTGGGCTGCTTTTGTCACCCGCAAGATGACCCTGATCCCCGCCCACTTCTGGATGAACGATATTTCCCTTGAGTCGCTGGCCGCCAAGGGCAAGGTGGACGACTACTGTAACATGGCAAATCTGATTTTTGCGAAGATCATCAATCTCTTGGCGAGTTCTTTTGGTCGTAACAATGTTGACTTGGGGGAGTCGATGGCGGCTCTGTGGGATGAAATGCAGGACTGGTACCGGCTTCGGCCGCCGGATGTCCACCCGTTGTTGCGACAGAATCCATCCCCGGGCAGCGTGCTTCCTACGATCCTACACGCTCGAACATCGGCTAGTGAGTGATTCATTTCCGTGGGCGCAGGCAACGTCCAGTATTGATGTCGCGCTTTTTAGTTTGCGGCAATACGTATTACCATGCAGGTTCGATCCTGCTTTTACAGACGGGGGCTGTGCAACTTACCCCTGATGCGCCGCGGAACACAGTACGTCCATGTAGCCTTTACGAATTACTCCTGATCACTTACATAAAGCCAGCAAGTCGATGCCATTTGGCATGCACGCGAACTAATGGGCATCTCCACGTGTAATCCATCTCAGTAAGTTCATACTTCCCTCTACATACCGCAAGAGAACGACAGATCACCTGCACCTGCTTCCCGAAAGTACCGTCATGTTGACCAGAAGGCGTACAGTGCAAACTGGGTCAACCATCTGCAACCCCTATACATCGCAGGAACTGTCTTCGCGGGGTACTGCACGGCCTTTCCACCGTCGAAGCACAGCCAGTCGCAGGATGTGCCGAGTTACCAATCCGCAGCTCAGCAGCCAGGAAGTCGAGATTTTCTGAGTCTTCCAGGGATCGGGGACCGTCTCGCTCAAGAATCGACCATGGCGGAGGAATACGCCTCCGAGAAGATCTTCTTGCTGAAACACCTCTCGCGGATTGAAGCTGAAACTGGGTGGAAGACTTCCGATCGTGCCGCCGAGCTGAGGGGGCTTTGGGGTCTCGGGTAGACCACGTAGATGATCCACGGTCTGCCTTCCTGACCGACCCTACAATAGACACGTCCTGATGAGTACAAACGATACAGAAGGTTTCCGAATGATGGCATGAAGCCAGATTATGATGATTTTCCTTCATATAGCTAAACAACAAAATCAGACTCATGCAACAGGGGGTATCGAGCGCCGAATCCGTATACGTGACACATCAATCAGAACCCTTGAACAAGAAGAAATCTAATGGCATCGGCCACGTGTTCAGGCCAGAATCTGAACCTAATATGACAAAAAAGGAGAAGAACCACCATCTTAGAGGTGTGTTCCTTCTCATAATTCATTCTGCTCCCATTTCTCCAGGTATTCGGACAGCTTCTCGAACGAGAAGGGCTTGGTCACGAACATATCCATCCCGGAGTTCAACGCCTCGGCTTCATCCTTCGCACTGCTGAGGCCGGTCAGGGCGATGATCTTGGCCGGGACGCCGCTGTCCCGCTCCCTTTCGAGGGCGCGGATGGCGCGTGTGGCTTCGAAGCCGTTCATCACTGGCATGGAGATATCTAAGCAGGGACGGTCAGCATTATGTGGTTATGAGGGCGAGAAGGAGGGGGGAGTACCCATGAAGATCAGGTCGTAGCCCTGCTTCTCCTGCTCCACCGCTTCGACGGCGCGCTTGCCGTTGTCGGCCGAGGCGAGCGCAACCAGGTTCCGTTTCTTCAAGAATGTCAGGATGAGGTTGCGGTTGATGGGGTTGTCCTCTACAACTAGGACTCGTGGGCCTCGCGCGGCGCGTTCAATTGCCGCATTCTGCCGTGTGGATGCGCCCTGGCATTGTGGGCACAGCGAGTGTGAGGATTGTGAAGTGATTGCGGCTGGATGTTGGTCGGCGGGTCCGACATTCAGTCCGTTCAACTGAGGCGCAAGGGAGGATGTCTCCGACTGTTGATTCAGGCAGCGCTCAATGGCAGCCGCCAGCTTCCACGGCCCGCACGGCAGACGGACAAAGTTCACCGTCGGCGCCGACGACAGCCAGCCCGGCAAGGGGTTCGATGGGGATGCCGACGGGTCCCATACGACAATTATCGGGGGAAGAATGGTGTCTGTTTCGATTGGGACGGTGGTAGTCCCGTCCACAAGCATGAAGTCCACAGACGAGTCGGAGTCGTGCGGCACGAGCTCAATCCCAAACCAGCCGATCAGGTAGCGGCTGATGATCGTCCATCGGGGGGACGACAAGATGTCCACCGCGTCTCCTTCGAGAAGGATACTGGCTCGTCGCCCGGCATGCTTGCCAATCGGTCCGGAGCTTCTGCTTTCCTGGATCGTCAAATTCTGGAGATCGCGATCAAGGGAAAGGTCCTCAAGACCTGGTCGAGTCAGAGGCATGGTTACTTTGACGATTGTGCCTTCGCCTGCGCGACTGTCAAATGTGATGTCGCCATCGAGGGATTTTAGCAGACTGCGCACAATCGACAGCCCCAAGCCGGTGCCTACGGCCAACGGATCCTCCTGCGCGAATGGGGTGTAAAGTCGATTACGCAAGAACTCTTCGGAAATGCCCTTGCCCGTGTCGGAAACCGTCAGCACAAGCGTTTCTCCGGCTTTTGCAGCAGCGCTAGCAGCGCCCGCCTTCCGTGGCGCCGCCTCGATCACGTCCATCTCCAGAGAGACCTTGCCGGCTTCGGTGTATTTCAGCGCATTGCCCACGAGATTCATGATGATGCGCCGCAGCGCGCCCGGGTGGGTCTGGTACATCCAATTGTGCTGCGCGATATCCAGCACGACTTCCACGGCCAGCTTCTCTGGGGTAGGATGCGACATATCCACCAGCGATTTCTGCGCCATGTTCTCCGGGCAGTCCGATGGGGCGATGGATCGTTGTCCATACGCGTGGCCCAGATACACCCCCTCGACGACTTCCTCGGCCAGGGCACTCAGGTCCGTTGCCACTGAAGTGTCCAGCAACGAGGAGGCGCCGGAGTTGTTTCGCTTCGCGCTTCGGCGCTTGGCGTGGGCCCGGCCGCGCTCCGACGAGACGGTCTTGCTGTAATCCAGCACCTGGTTCATGGTGTCGAGCAGGGTGCGGCCGCACTTAGAGATAGTGTCCAGCAAGGAGCGCTGAAACTCGTCCATTCGGGTGCCCTGCAGGAATTCGCCGGCGGCCATGATTCCGTGCAACGGGCTGCGTAATTCATGCCTGTCATTGCATACATCGATTGAGTCAATCTTCTAGTGTCTTTGGATGTTTGGTTGAATGCGAAAATAGTGTGGGGGGAAAAGAGGCCTTCCTTACGAGATACTACCAATGAAATGACTCTTCTGGCGGTCTGCGGCCACCGACTGCATGCGGGTGTATTCGGCCATGATGGATGACCCGAACCCCAGCATGGAGCTCAGCTCGACGGCCGGGTTGAACACGCGCGTCTCCAGCGTGTTCCAGCAGAAGCAGCCGGCGAACCACTGCGAGTCCGCCGCGTTCCACAGCGGCACGAACAGCACCTGCGTCGCGCCGGGGAAATAGCGGTTGAGGGTCAAGTTTTCGGAGGCTTTCTGCACCCGCGATTCGTCGATGCTCTGCTGGGAGTCGGTGCGCGCGGGCGAGGGTCGGTCGTCATCAGAGCTGGAGAGCAGTCCGTCCCGGTGGAAGGACCACAGTCTGCCGTGGCGATAACGGTCCAGCAATTGGTGCAGGAACTCGACGTTCAACTCCGAGGCTGGATACTGCGTCTTGGTCTTGGAGCCTGGCTGTGGGGCGAAGGGCTGGTGCGCGGTCGACGCCGCCAACACCTGGGGCAGAGTAGGTTCGCGCGGGGCTTTTTCGCCGATGTTGTTGCTGCTGCGCCATTTGGCTTCATGGACAAGATGGGGGTCGGCGCGCAGGAAGAGCACACCACCGTCGGTGCCCAGTTCTAGACTCTGCCGGATTAGGTTGGCCGCACGCTGGAACATCCACGAGTCCCCAGACGACGAGGCCTCCGGCGTTCGATTTGTGCTGGTCTCGGATCGCGACGCCGCAGACCCGCGCCTGTCGCGTGACGCGGATCGAGCCCCGGAAGACCGGATGCTCTGGCTCCACGTCCCACGGGAGCTGCGTGACCGATGCGAGCGAGTCTCGCTGTTCTTCACGGATGGAGAGTCCGCGGATCGCAGCGCGGAAAGGGTGGACAGCGGTGGCGGTGGCGGTGACCACGACACTGAGGCGGTCCCCACGGCGGCGGGCGTGCTGGGGGCCGTGGATGCCCGCTCCCCAATCTCCGAACTGCCTTCGACAAAGTAATTCAGGGCGCGGGAGAGTCGGGCCGCGCGTCGTCCATCGGTGGCCTGTCGACTGACAGCGAGATACTCGCTGACCAAGGCGCCCACGGTCACCAAGGCGTTCTTCTCGACCGTGCTCAACCCCGCGGGGTGGGGCTTTTTGTCCAGCACGAAGATCGAGCCGATGTTGATCTTCTTCTCCGCGGTCAGCGGCGTGCCGGCGTAGAACCGGAAGCCGGGGTCCCCGCGGACGAACGGGAGATTCTTGTACCGCTCGTCGGTGCTGAGGTCGTTGACCTCGATGAATGAGGAGAGGCCTTTCTCCCGGTTGGAGGGTGGGAGATCCAGGGTATCCTGTCGACGTGGGGGAGGTGTTGGATTTATTGCAGCACGAGAGGTGTCATATGGTAAATGAGGAAGAAGGAAGAATACATACCCTGCACATGATCCAGTCATCAAGAGAGAGCCTGGAGTTGCCATTCCACACCCCATTGCCCAGGTCTTGCAAGTCCACATCACCCTGGTTTGTCTGTGCGGCTTGGGCGATGATGAACTGCGAGTCCTGATCGGAGACGCTAAACAATAATCAACCCCAAAAAAATAAAAGAAAACGAAACAAGGAGGCGCGTAGAATCATGATGCCGGCGGCGGTAATCGTATATGACCTGGCGAAGCAGAAAGGTACGCATTGCAGACATACCTAATGAGCACGCGCTCGACATCCAGGCGCAACGCGGCCAGTTGGGCGAAGGAGGTCAAAGTCTCGTTGTGGTGGCTCAGATGTGGCTCGAGCACCAAGGGGACCGTGTATTCAGTGTCCACGGCGTGCAGGTGGGGAGACCCTGCGGGGGAGGGGGAGGCAACAGAAGAATACCGCTGGGAGCTCACACCCCCATTGGGGGTACTCGGGGTACGTTGACCAGGAGGGAGTGGCGATGTCGGCTCAGCCTCTTCCTCAATTGGCGAGATGAGGCTCTGTGGGTGGAAGATACTGTACACTTCGCGGGCTCGACGGCCAGCGTCATGGTCCCGCGCAGGATCTGGGGTGGTCGTCGTCCCCTCTCCATCAGGATGGCCAGTGCACCCACCGGCGGGGGGTTTCTTGAAGGGAAGAGGAGGAGAGGTCATCGGAACATACAGGAGGATAGTACCCACCTACGTTTCGGTAGATGGAGGGAGGAGACAAGGGTGGTGAACACGCCAACGACGAAATGATATGTGTAATATGGCAGGGGTGAGATGAATGGACGAGTTGAGGCTATTTTTGGGGCGAAGGGGGAAACCCGGTTACCGCGCTGACATCATCTTGCCGACTTCGACTTTTGCCGGAAAACTTAATTCCGACCGCCCTGGCACGTGACCTCGCCAGGAGGACGGCTCACGGCTCGCTTAGCTAGACTAGATCTGGTTAGTGCCACTCTCCCGCACTCCCACTGGCCGGGAAACCTTCCGACCGGATCCGGATCCGGATCCGAATCCGAAACCAGGAACCATCTGGCTGGGTCCAGGCCCAATCGGCCGATAAATTCACTCCCTTTCAGTTCACTGGCATCCGACTACACGGCGTTGCTGATATCCTCGTGGGACTGTAAATACATCCATCGTCAGTTTAGGCCATCATTGCTCGACCTCTCTCATCTCACACCACCCTCCCTCCCAACCGGCCGGTCGGAGATTACCAGGACGTTGCCCTTCACCCTGCATCGGCTGGAATTGCCGTCAAAACAAGCATTATGAAACCCCTGCGATCCGTGTCCATCAAGTATCACAAACTGCAGCCACATCAGGCTTAGCTCGGGGTTCCTGGCAGACCCCGTATTCGTGTTCGCGGGCGTGGCGTACATGGCGGGCAGATACGGGAGCCACGTCTATCTATGGAAACTGGGCACACGACAGTCGAACCCTTCAGCTACAGTTATCAGCCACAGGACTATGACAATACTCCAGTCCATCTTGGTGACCTGTGCAAGTATTATGGGGACCTAAGCTCGGTGGCATGCCTCCCGTTCAACCAATCGGGAGCTGCCGTGGGGTTTGCGCAGGTCGCGCAACCTTAATCTTCCAATCCAACATCCACATCAAGAGGGATTTGGAAAGCTCAAGCGAAAAC